CCTGTTGTGTCTTCCAACGCGTCTATCGGCAAAAACTCCATGGTTTTTAAATTTTGATCTTCCATATGGGGCATCGGTGTGGATTCCGTTGTCTTTTTCTCCACTTCATCTACGCTCTGGTCTGGTGTCTCTAGATCGATTTCGATTGTGGGCTCCACCTGTTTTTCTTTCGCATCTTCTCGCGTCTTGTTCTCGGTGCTACTCCTCGTGCTGACCATGCTAACTGAAAAGCTATCTTTTGTTTTGCCTGGGCCCCTTGATGTCGTTCCGCGCAGCGACGAGTTATATTTCGTGTTTGATCCACTTGACCTTTTTTCTAGCACCGGTACCCTACTCCGTCTCATTATTTCTATTTACAATTGCTTTTATTTACAATATTACTTTATACACAATTCTAATCTAAGAATAAAATGTTTTGAGGAAAAATTATTTAAAAGAAATATGCAACGTGGTAAAAACCTTGTTCCAGTTCTCTTTCTAAACTTTTCGAGAAACTTTCTTTATTTGTGGTCTCAACCGTACCGGGTTCCAATTAGTCTTGTTCTGTCTTAATTCTGTCTTAAAACACTTATTGTAATTTTACTTCAATTTCTATACCGTCCCAAGACTTCCAATTACCGTCCCTACTCTTCTTTGTACCGTCCCAGGCTTCTTTCTACTGTCCCAAGACTGTTCGGTACTGTCCCAGTACTTTCCGTCAGTGTCCCAAGACCCTTGTCCTGAGAGTACTATCCCAAGGCCACTGTCCCAAGACTACTGTCCCAAGGCTAGTGTCCCAAGACTACTGTCCCAAGGCTAGTGTCCCAAGACTACTGTCCCAAGACTACTGTCCCAAGACTACTGTCCCAAGACTACTGTCCCAAGGCTAGTGTCCCAAGACTACTGTCCCAAGACTACTGTCCCAAGGCTAGTGTCCCAAGACTACTGTCCCAAGACCACTGTCCCAAGACCCTTGTCCCACGACCCTTGTCCCAAGACCACTGTCCCAAGACCACTGTCCCAAGACCACTGTCCCAAGACCACTGTCCCAAGACCACTGTCCCAAGACCCCTGTTCCAAGACCACTGTCCCAAGACCACTGTCCCAAGACCACTGTCCCAAGACTACTGTCCCAAGACCACTGTCCCAAGACCACTGTCCCACGACTACTGTCCCTAGACTTCTTTGGCACTGTCCCAAGACTGTTGACAACTGTCTGAGCGATGGGGTCTCTTTCTTCTTCGTTATGGGGACTTCTTGATTCACTGTACCTTGTACCACCACTCAAGCTCTAGTAAAATTTCCCCAAAAACCCTCTCTTAAAAGCCAAATGCTGACCCCCCTTTTTCTTATTTCTTTTTAGTTACCTCTATTTCAATGTTCCAAGCAACTTGAGACCAAAACCTGTGCGCAGGTATCTTGTGATCACCTGTTCGTGTAAAAACTAAACACAAATCCTCACCAAAATGCAACAAAAAATCCAAGCTAGAAAAAGTAATAAAAACAGAAAGATGAGCCCACCTAAAATTCAAAGGTGACCAATGTCTACCTTTTGTCGAAAAAAAAATGTCTGGTACCTAATTGCCACGCGTTTTCCTCCCCCCAACTAATAATCTTATTGGGTATCAACAGAATTGTCTACGTCCGTTCCCCCCTACCAATCCGACCAGGGTACCTTCCTTAACTCGAGTTCAAATTTCGATATCCACCTATTATTACCAACGCGTGTTAATGACTAATGTAACTAAATCTACGATGTCGACTAATTAGTTACTCTAATTTCCCCCCTTTTCACAACTTACTACCGCCAACCTCTAACGTAACCAGCCCCCCTTCTAACCTCCCCCCTTTTTAGCCCCCTTCTTAAGCCTAAAAATTACCTTAAGCGCCGGGTGCTAAAACTCTCAAGAGAAAACCGCAGACCTGTTTCCAGGCCTGCTTAAGTAAAAACGTTCCTCAAAACCGGGGGATTTCGCTTATCCAATTTTACACTTATCTCCTATAATGTAATGTGGATTCTAACGATACCCGTTCTGCCCAACTTGAGAACTCGAGAACTGCCAAATCCTTCTTGGCTGCTTTCCCACTCGACTGGTCACCTGTTCCAGTCCAGTCTCCTATTGGTTCAGCTCAAGTGTTCCTGAACCACTTTCCCACTCGGCTGGTCACCTCTTCCAGTCGAGTCTCCTATTGGTTCAGCTCAAGTGCTCCTGAACCACTTTCCCACTCGGCTGGTCACCTCTTCCATTCGAGTCTCCTATTGGTTCAGCTCAAGTGCTCCTGAACCACTTTCCCACTCGGCTGGTCACCTCTTCCAGTCAAGTCTCCTTGTTGTCCAGCTAAGTTCCAAGCTATCTGAAAACCCTTGACAACGCCCCACACTCGGGCACTTTATTAAGGTTACTGTGTTAAATTGCTAGGTTGATCGAAACGATCGAACTTTTTAAAACAGTATGGGTATACTATTTAATTAATATAAAGGTTTGATCCAACTAATCTGGTGTCAAAGTCACTGTCTTTTTTCGTTTTATGGTTTTTGTTCCTTTTTCTATTCTTTTTTGTTTTTTGTTTTGCTTTTTGTCTTTTTGCTCGTGTTTTTGTCCCCCTAGTTGCCCCCCTTTACTCGGTTAGCTAAGCCTCGTTCGGAGAGCGTACCAGGAAGTTTTCTCGAGTTTTCTTAAAAAGCTATCACGGTACAACCGGAAGGTTTGCACGTTCCCGTCGAACCGTACCACCGGTGCTCTAGAATGGGCATGTAGCCCGAAACTGTCTCAAGTGGGTTCGACTCCGTAGTCTTGATGTCGTAAACACCCAGGAGCGCCATAAAAACACTATGTAACATTCGTCTACTGCAGTCACACATGAGGCTTAAGAAAAATAGGCCCTATAACCATTGGCTCAAGAGTCAGGGACACTATCTCTTGTGTTTTTCCACCTCAAATCAGTCGGAGCCAATTCGGTTCGCTTGTGACATGAGACTACGACCCGTTACCGCTTAAAGGCTACTACCAAAATATCCCCCCCACTCTAGAAATAATAACGTCCCCATACTTAGGTCTCTAGACACCCAAAATACATGAACGCCGTTAAAAACCGGGTCGGAACAATCCGTTAAGTTACTTTTTATTAGACAGTGGAACTTTGATCCATTTCAGATGGATCAACCTATAACTCGCCTTACCTCAACATAACAATTATAAAACACACTCTAGAAATTTAAATTGGTACTCACATTGTAGCACGCTCAAGAATTGGGAGTAATTAAGTCGGTAAGCAACTCAAGAATTAAATCATGTAACTAAATGAGTTTAATGTTTGTCAGTTTCAACAACAGGAATAAGTTTGTACTCTAGAATGTAGTTTTATGTTAACCATTGGGACACTCAAGCTGTCCACCTTTCCACCGAAGGTTCACTCTGGTCCAATTCGAATAGTTGACCAGTTGGATAATTGTCCAGTTCTCAGGAACACTCTGTCTTGTATTTCAAATAGGACAGCTCTACTCTAGATTATTATTGTGTCGGAAATTGCGAATAGCAATTTCCCACTGATTTATCTTGCAACTTTCCCGCGATTGTCACTCGATTGTTCTGATTTCTCTTTTTCGGTTTTCAGTTATCGCGAGAAAATCGTGCATGACAGGCTCCATTCGAATTTTTGAAAAATTAAATTTCACTCCAAAATCATGTGCTTTTGCTTTTCTCAAGGTCAAACTTCCAAATATGACCGACTGGCACACTTTTATGTACTTCTCGTGATGACAATTTATATGATTTTTTAAAATATTTCCGAAAAGCTTAGATATAAATAATTAAAAAGAAAATTGAAATTGGCAACCGTGTAATTGGGTACTGTGAGGGTACTCTCAGGGGTTGCAAAACACGCGTTCGAAAGCGACTGCTGAAATGCTTTTATTTTCCGAGATGTGACGTGTTTAATGATTTTTTTTCAGAAATTTTCGGAAATCATAAATTTAAATTATTTGAAATTCCCAACCAAGAAATTGGTGGCTGTCAGGGTATTCTCAAGGGTTGCGATTTTTTTCCAAATAAGACTGCTCAATTTTTTTAAGTTTTGGTGATATGATGCTTTTTTGGTTTTTCATTTTTCAGAAAATTTACATTTAAAAAAGATTCCAAGAAAAAAGTGAAAATCACAACCATCTAGTTAATTCCTGACTGAATTTAATAGCATCGGTATGGCCCTTCGCATTAGCTCTTCAGTCGACTTAACGGATCAATTGAGCTGTCTCAACCCCCCCTCCCCCCGTAATGACGAATTGAGCTCTCCCCCCCGCCCCCCGTAAATGACGAATTGAGCTATCTCTCCTCAAGCAAAAACGGAAAAACGCTACAAAAAGACGTCAGAAAACTCAAGAAGATGGTTCATATGTTGGTAGCACGCAATCAACTGACCGATTGAAATTAATTTTATATGAGTATCGAGAAAAAGTTTGAAAAAAAAATCGAATTAAAAAAAAATTTCTTTGTAAATATTTGTTTGGGCGACCATTGCCTCATCCGGAAAGCGACTTACAATGGTTGCCTTGTATCTGAATATCAAACATTACTCTCTGCGGCACCTTAATATTGTATGCAATACATTTTTCATCGTTTGAGAACAGAAAAAAGTAGCTTTATTTGTCTCAGATCTATTGATTCTTTTTCACTCTGATTGTAATTTTGAGTTTTGATGTAAATTTTGGCTTTTCACTTTCGTTGGAGAATCTCTTTAAGATTTCATATCATCAAACTATTTTCAAGTGGTTATAAACATGTCTCAAGAACCTATTGAGCTTTATGCCAAACACCACCCCCCTCCTCCCCCCCCCCCCCCCCCCAAGCGAGAATGGGGGGGGGGGGAGGGGGTGGTGAGAGATAGATTGCTTAATTGATCCGACTTAACGATGGTATGAAGGTAATTGGTTGTATCGTGACAATGCTGCGACCACGAAAACTTTGATGTTACTTTCGCTCACCCAAGTTTAATGAGCTTGACGATCTTTAAGAGTTATGTTATAGGAAATTCATGAGCAATGACATCCCAGAAGAAGGTTTTTAATGTGGACATCGAAGAAGGTGAAATACAATCTGACGACGAGTATAGCTGTAATTTTGGTCCCGGAAGAAGTTTGCAACAATTAAAAAACGAGAAACAGTTACTCTCTAATCAAGAAAGAATAAACAGGCTATATTCTTCGTTTTTGGATGATTACCACGATACTGGGGAAAAAGAATCTGAAAACTCCGGTTAGTTTTGTTTACTGTTTAAGCTTGCTATTAGCAAGCGTTCTCAAACTGGAAAATAGGCTTTTTTCGGGTTAACAACTTGTTTAACAGAATCCTGTGTATCTGGTTTCATAATGAATTCAAACTTCTATGCATTCTCGGCCCAACTTAGCCTGGAGGTAACGAGTATGCAAAGGTCCTAGGTTCGAATCTGACTAGAACCCGTTTTTTTTTTCAAATGGGAAATACTCTGTTTCAAATCAAATTTTTCGCCAATTATTTGTATGCCTATCTGTTCGTGGCTTAGTTGTCCCATTTCGATATCGTTTTTTTTTTGTTTTTTTTTTGCTGCGTGTATTTTTCTTTCACAGTGGTGTATTTTTTGCTGCGTGTATTTTTCTTGTATGCTCACCTAGAGTCTCTTTTTACTTGAATACTCTGTCTACAGCCTTCGAAAAAGTCTTGGGGAATATTTCCTCGGAAAATACCCCTTTAAAATCTGAGTTTTTGGTTTCAATGAATAAAAATGTTTCGAAAACTGTATCAGTATGGCGGCTACAATATATTTTTTTACGCATCAAGTTATGGCAAGTTTGAAGTTTCTTGGTAAAAAACACAGGTTTAGCCTGTTCCTCAGCTCCTATGGGTGCATATGATTCATCTCCTTTTTCTTCTGTGCTGATGATATCGCTATAATTGACTCAGTGTCGTAGTTCGCTGTTCTTGTTGAGTCGTCTTACGGTTTCGGCTGGAGGAGTGGTGGCGGTGGGCAAGTCTGGGAAAATGTTTTAATTTTGTCTTTTGACTTTTGTTCTCTCATGGCATATACTGCCCTCCATAATCATAAGTAGTTTCTTCGCATGTTTTATTGGGCGTAGAGTAAAGAACTTATTTTGTTCACTATTTTGTTCTCTCATGAAAGAACTTAATAGAGTAAAGTACTTGGGCTCCGACGTAAAGCTTCGGAAATGCTTTTGCCCGGACTGGTACACTATCGTTTAAAAAGCGAGTAATTTCACTATCGCTGCTTGTCGCGTCAGTTTTCCGAGTTTTTTTGTTCTTTCTCTGAAGGCTCTTTCGTAACTGACTCAGAATGGCTGCTTTGTTTCTTCTCATCGTATCTTTTCATTATCTTTTTGCCCCCTCACATTGTCAAAGTTTGCTGTTCTTGTCATGTCGTCGTACAGTTTCGGCTGAAGGAGTGGTGGCGATGGGCAAGTTTGTCTGGGAAAATGTTCAAATTTTGTCTTTTGACTTTTGTTCTCTCATGGCATATACTGCCTTCCATAATCATAAGTAGTTTTTTCGCCTGTTTTTATTGGGCGTAGAGTAAAGAACTTAATACAGTAAAGAACTTGGGCGTTGACGTAAAGCTTCGGAAATGCTTTTGCCCGGACTGGTACACTATCGTTTAAAAAGCGAGTAATTTCACTATCGCTGCTTGTCGCGTCAGTTTTCCGAGTTTTTTTGTTCTTTCTCTGAAGGCTCTTTCGTAACTGACTCAGAATGGCTGCTTTGTTTCTTCTCATCGTATCTTTTCATTATCTTTTTGCCCCCTCACATTGTCAAAGTTTGCTGTTCTTGTCATGTCGTCGTACAGTTTCGGCTGAAGGAGTGGTGGCGATGGGCAAGTTTGTCTGGGAAAATGTTCAAATTTTGTCTTTTGACTTTTGTTCTCTCATGGCATATACTGCCTTCCATAATCATAAGTAGTTCTTTCGCCTGTTTTTATTGGGCGTAGAGTAAAGAACTTAATACAGTAAAGAACTTGGGCGTTGACGTAAAGCTTCGGAAATGCTTTTGCCCGGACTGGTACACTATTGTTTAAAAAGCGAGTAATTTCACTATCGCAGCTTGTCGCGTCAATTTTCATTTTATGCGATGGGGAGACAAAAACATACTCAATGTCTCCAATGAACTTACTCTGTTGGCATTCAAGTTTGGTGATTTGCTGTCCTCTATCAGACAGAAGGAAGTCTCCTGTTTCAAAATCCTGCAGTGGTACCAGTCCTTTTCCATTTATGTCATCAAAATATTCGATTTTAAATCTACCAGGGGGATTGCAATCAATCAATTCATCTTTTGCCAAATTTTTTTCTTAATCTCCTCGCTGCTTTTCAAAAAGTCAAAGCTATCTTCTGAAAACAAGTGGTATTTTTTGGTTCAATTGAAACTAACAGTTTAATCTGAAACCTTTTGACTCAGTCCTGAATTTTTCAACTGGCTTTGGCTTCTTCCACATCTTTTTTCTTGATCTCGCAAAGTTTTCATTTTGCCGCGGAAACGTTCAGTATCGATTTCTTGTTGAAAACATTCACTTTGGTCCACCAAAAATTGATCTGTGTGAAGTTTTCGAGGTTAAGCAACAGATTTAGCACCGACTTTGACGCAAGGGTTTTTGAGTGCTTTTTTATCCAGTCGTCAATTTTGTGAGGCTCTGTCAAGTTTTTGGTGCGAATGATCATCTGTCGCAACTTTTGAGTTTACCGAGTTTTTTTTTTGTTATTTCTCTGAAGGCTCTTTCGTAACTGACTCTTGAATGGCTGCTTCGTTTCTTCTCATCGTTTCTTTTCCTTATCTTTTTGCCCCCTCACATTGTCAAAGTTCGCTGTTCTTGTCATGTCGTCTTACAGTTTCGACTGGAGGAGTGGTGGCAATGGGCAAGTTTTTGTCTGGGAAAATGTTCAAATTTTGTCTTTTGACTTTTGTTCTCTCATGGCATATTCTGCCCTCCATAATCATAAGTAGTGTCTTCGCCTGTTTTTATTGGGCGTAGAGTAAAGAACTTAATCTGCTTGACTGCCAGCTTATCGACGTGAAGCTTCGGAAATGCTTTTGTCCGGACTGGTACACTATCATTTAAAAAGCGAGCAATTTCACTATCGCTGCTTGCTGCGTCAATGTACATTATGCGAGGTGGATTTGTCATCTTTTCCATCATGTATTTATGTATGTATTTATTCATTGCTTTATTATTGAACCTGGCAATCGTTCAGGCGCCTTCCCATTTGGCCCAGAGGTAAATCACGCGCCACTGGAGCATCAGGTTCTGGGGTTCAAGTCCCAGTCGGATTCTTTTTTCCTAGTGTGGATGTATTTTTGGAACCTTTAATAGTCTGACTATCGTTTGTCTGCTTCTCAAACGCATGGAAAGTCTTCGAGGCATCTTTATATCCTATATTTAAGCAATTCTAAGTATTAATGAAAGACGGTCTGTAGGTTGTAAGTTTATCAACTTTGATTTTTTAATTGTCTTTTTTTGCTTGAATGGGTTCGGTTCAGAGTTCGGCTCTCCAACGACACTCCAAAAGAAGTTCGAGAAGTTGACATCAAAAATGACTTAAATAGCCGACTGGCACCTCTGATTGTTTTTCTTGCTACTGGTTTGTATAAAGAGGAGCAAAAATTCAGGCGGTATGCTGATAGGCCCAATCAGGCGGAATATTTAAAGTTTTTTTCCCAAAAAACGGTCAAATTAAATTGATATTGCTTTTCTTACACAAGATTTTGATTATAGTTGCGTCCGAGATGTTGTTCTTATCTAGAAGAAACAAGATGAGATCAGAAGAAGTGCTACTAACATCCGTATATTATTTCACTGGGAGTAGTGTTGACTGTAACTACCTTAAGTAATGATTTTTGGAATGTTTTTTTTTCTTAGTTTCGAAGTTTTGTTGCTCAGAAACTGAAAAGTCAGTCCAAATGATTCAAGTCATTTGCGCTAACTTTCCTTTGGTTGGAAAATTTCCGGTTAATTTGTGAAGCAGCTAGAGAGTGCTATACAGGGACCCGCAATCATTCATTGATCCTTACTGGAGACGTTACTATTTTCTGTGCCCTTTGTCTATCCACTCCAAAGTCTTGTGCTCATAATGTTGGCGTTTTTTTTTCAATTTCTAGTCAATGTCTGTTTGTTATATGCTGATGTTTTTGTTGTAACTTATGGAGAAAAACATTTTTCTTCTTTTTCTTGAAATATGCAAGATCAATGACCGTTAGGGGTAAATGGCTTAAGGAAACACTTCTGTCGTCCGTGGAGAGGATCGTTGTCGGAGATCGACTCGGGAAGAGGCGTCTTGGAGCTTTCCCTACATGGCTTGAGGACTCGTCGCTCATGGTTTTGTCCTCATTTGGTTCGGACAAAAGTTTGATGGGATTGCCAGTTTCTTCCTCGTTTTGCTCGAATACCGAAGCATAGTTCAGCTTACTGTCTTCATAGCTTCTAGCGGGTTTTTCAGGCATTCTGGTTCTTTTTGAAGAGCTCTGGTAGGTTGGTTGTCGAAACGGATTTCGCTAGTTCTCGGTCCTGCACTATGGAGCGTCACTTCTGGATAATAACTGGCTCCAGCTGCATTTCGTTTTTTGGCGATGGAAACTTTGTACCAGCTCTCAATAGTTGCAGCTGCGTGGCCTGTATGTTTGTTGAGTGCCTCTTTTAAGGTTGCTGCGAATTTTTTCCTTCCACACCGACGCCATAAGTTTTCGATAAAGGGTTGATTTGATGGTCATGTTGATAAAACCATGTTGTTTTGGCAAAGCTCTCGCTAATTTTTTTCCAAATTTTTTGTAATCAACATGGTCGATTGTTTCAGTGGGCTTCAATGGCACAAACAAGAACTCATTTTCACTTTTTATTTGGATGAGAAGCTTGACAAACTGATTGTGTAGCTTCATCTCTAGGTATGTTACAGCTCTGATTTTCTTACCCTTGCAGTAGAAATTCATTTGCATCCTGTGGAGTAGTTTTCGCATTTCCGCAATCTTAATTCTTTCGCTCGGTCCCTTTTTTGGGTTGTGAAGCTTCTTAGGCACCAACTCGATGGCATAAAGCCTCAGATCCTCCGAGTGTTGTCAACTGTCCAATTAATCAGTACCGAATATTTTGATTGATCCACTGCTCGTGGAGTTTCTGAAAGTCATTAGGGCCATCAAACTGAAATTGATTTTTCGGAGCAGCTCATCTGATACATCCGATAAGACATCTTTACTCAGTTCTTGTTCAAGGAAACTATTTTTTCTCGAAAAAGGAGAACATCTTCTGGCTCAGGCAGAGAAGCAGCAGCAGCTGACTTGCTCAGCTGTCTTCGGCTTCTTCCAGATTTTTCCTTGATGTCGCAACTCTTTTTATTTTGCTGCAGAAAAATTCAATATCAACTTTCTGTGAAAAGCTTCCAATTTGGTGCAACAAAAACTGATCGTTGAACTTTTCGAGGTGTAGCAACAGGTTTAGCACCGACTTTGACGCGAGGACCTTGGGATAGATTTTTATCAAGTCGTCAATTTCGTGAGTCTCTGTTATGCTCTTTGTGCAATGATCATCTGTCGCAACTTTTGAGTTTTACCCTTCAGGTTTGATATGTTAAAGGTACTGTTTCGTCCGGTTCTAATTTCCTTCTCTGTAATTTTTTGATATTTATCCAGAATTTTTTGATTTTTATCCAACTTCTTCTGGTTTTGGTTTTCAGTTTCGCCACTTTCTTCAATCAGAGCTTTCTTCAAAATGGATTGTGGTAGCTTCCAGACATTTTTGATGTGATACATTCTGATTCGTGATTGCTTTCACATGCGCGAGACTGAGCATTGAATTTGTTGAGTGATTTCTGATCAGACATCATTTCACATCGGCTACAAAAAATCATTTTTTCTTTTATTTCTTTGTCAGCAAATGCAATTTTTGAAATAATTGACTTTTCGGGTCTTCAGTTTTATGAATTGATAAAAAGTGGCGTCTCAAATTTCTCCGAGATCTGAAAAATTCGCCAAATATTTGACAGCAGTAAGAATTTTCCGTCTTTCTCAGTTTTTTTTGTTTCTTTCTCTGAAGGCTCTTCCGTAACTGACTCAGAATGGCTGCTTTGTTTTTTCTTTTAATTTTCCTTATCTTTTTCCCCCTCTTCTTGCCCTGGTTCTTTTTTTCGATTATTTCAATCATGATTGGTGAATTCACCAGTTTCTGTATAAGATTTGTGTCTTCTTCTTGGGGGAGGTATTAACCTTATGAGCCAAAGGGTTTTTGATCTTGTTTAACGACTGGGTGAACTACTCGTCTATCTGAATTCTGTCTTCGTCAAATTGGACGAGCACGAACGTGGAGCCTTCTACTGGTTGATGACAGTGCAGGTGTTTTTTCATGTCATGGAAATGCACTTTTTTTGCTATCGCGTAACATGACAGGCATGTGACGAAAAAATGTTTTCGTTTTTCTCCAACCATTGGCGTTTTCGCTTAAAAGGTGTCTCAGGGCACTATTTGGCGAGTGACCACCTGTTCAATATACAGCATAAGAAATTGACAGTTAAGGCATACGAAGACACTGACCTCCTCTCATTTTCAGTGCTTTTGACAGCTTTTTCACTTGCGTGGGACAAATCATCGTGGGGGTATTCTTGCATCACTTTTCGTGTGAAAGTTTGAAATTTCTTGGCAAGGAACACAGGTTGAGGCTCTTCCTCAGCTCCTATGGGTGCATTTGATTCATCTCTCTGATCTCGTGTGCTGATAATGTTGACTCAGTGTCAAAGTTCGCTGTTCTTGTTGAGTCGTATTGTGGTTTTGGCTGGAGCGGTGGTGGCGATTGCCAAATTTTTGTCGAGGAATGTTTGAATTTTGTTTTTTGACTTTTGTTCTCTCCATGGCATATACTGCCCTCAGTAATCATAAGTAATTTGTTCTTCTTTTTATCGGACGTAGAGTAGAGAACTTAATCTGCTTGACTGACTGTTTGTCGACGCAAAGTAATTTCTTCTTCTTTTTATCGGACGTAGAGTAGAGAACTTAATCTGCTTGACTGACTGTTTGTATTTATGAAATGTTCTTACTTTCTTTCAGTGATATGTCCTCTATGAAATAAAAGAAAGTATCCTTTTTCAAAATCTTGCACCGCTACCAGTCCATTGCCTCTTATGTCATCAAAATTTTTACACCCAATTCTGTCAGGAGGTAATCACAGTTTTCATCTTCGAAGCTTTCGTCAGATCTTTTCTTCATCTCATCGCGGTTATTTTCAAATTAAAGATGTCTTCTGAAAAACAAGTAGTGATTTTTGGTTCAATTGAAGAGTTGACTCTGCCAGGGGATCGCAATCAATGTATTTATCTTCGGAGCTTTCGTCAAATCTTTTTTTTCGTCTCCTCGCGGCTATTTTCAAATTAAAGATATCTTCTGAAAAACTAGTGGATTTTTGGTTCAATTGAAACAAACGGTTGATTCGAAAACCTTATTTGACTTTTATCATCTAACCGCGGAGTTCTCATCTAAGTCCTTCCTACTCAATTTAGATTTTCTTTCAGAAAGAACAGTGACTTTAGCATCAAACTTAGAAAAACAAAGCATAACGACTGCGAAATTTTTCTGCAAAAAAAAGAAAATCCGAAGAAAGACAGCTCGATTTATGTCTTTGAAACAGTCAGCTCTCTCAGGTCTAACAAAAACTAACTTAGAAAACTATATGCTATTTTACTAAAAAACTTAATAGGAATTTTTCCTTTGGTACCAAACAATGGCCTCCAGTTGAAATAATAAAGTTTCGAAAAATCATCGATTTATTTCGAATAGTCTTTGAGTTAGAGGTCCTCAAAAATTTGCAAAAAAAACTACCCAGTTTTGCTGCAATTGTATTTTTTTCAATGAGTTGTGCATCAAAATGACTCAAACACAATTTTTTGCAAGCATTTTTGAAGGCCACTGACTTTTTTGATACTTTTATTCTTTAAATCCTTGATGCCAGTTTTTATTGGCACTTTGTTCCCTTTACTTGCAAGTTTTCGAGTCTGTCCAAGAACTTTGTGTCAAATTATGGGCTGTCAAACTTCGCACTAAATTGGCCTAGTTTCGCTCAGAAACAAGTTAATAGGCCGATATAATTTTATCGTTTTCTTGATCTATGACTAAAACCCTATGAATTACCTTGAATATCAATTCAATGAAAGTCAGACAATTTTTGAAGTCACTTTATAGCAAACAAGGGGTCGTTGGAAAGCTCTTTCTTTTGACAAATATAAAAAGTAAGAACATTTCATAAATACGATGTTTTATAGCTAACCAAAAGCTATATTTTTGCCAAAAATTGATTTTTTTTTCAAATCTATCAATTTCACTTCTTTAAAACCCATCTTGCAAACAAAACTGCTCATTTGGTGGCAATTTTGCTCCATAGCTATAGCATTAGCATGGGGGTTGACAGCGATGATGCGCAAAATTACAATTCAAAATTGAACAGTTTTGTTCTTTATCGACTGATATATTATTTTTGCTTGTACCAATTTTATTTAGGCTTTAGCAAAAGATAATAATTTATTCAACAGCAAAAACCGAGAAACTAAGAAGACGAACATAGTTCTATTTTTTCAACAATTATGTTTTTTCTACTCCGAATTCAAACTTTTCTATTAAATGAGAATTTGCTTAATGTGTGCTAACAAAAGGTACGAAAACTATTCATACTTTCGCTCGCGTAAAAAATTAAATTTTTTGGAAAACTTTAATGCACCACATTTTTTGTTTCAAATTGCTGGCATTGTGAAGTGAATCGGCGTAGCGAACTCTAAAAACCAATCCAGGGTTTAAAAGGAATATCAAAGTTGGTCTGCTTGCAATTTCTGCTGTTCCAGAATCATGGTCTACACAGGCGAGTCCCAAAAAGGTGGAAAAGTCAAACAGAACTTTTCAGAAGGCAATAAGTGGGGTTATGAGCCCCAGCTATCATCAGAAGAAAAGTACAAAGAAGAAAGTAAGCGATTTGAAGGATCTAATTAACAACTCCCCCATTCCCCCACCCCATGGTATAAAAAATCTGCACCCCTCCAAAACAAAACGCTAAATTGGCACTGGAGTTTTTCAGATCGCATAAAGGTTTCTTTCGATTGTTCTGATTACGAATTTTTTTTACAGAAGTCAAATGAAAAGCTGGTGGACAGTGACATCGAAGAACTTTACAGCGAACTCTTACCTAGTGCAAAATTGACTGACAGAAACGAGAAGGTGTATAAAATAGTGCCATCAGAACGTGCAATTGAAGAGCAACGGAAACAATCTTTTCGTCCACTATCATCAAACAAGGTCTGTGAAATAAAACAAAAATTTCGTAAACAAAGTAAATGAATCAGAAAATGGTTTTTAAAAGGAAACGCGTGCTTAGGTTGTTGTCTTGATTTTTTTTCTATAATCGTGTTCAGTTAATGTGTTTGAGCATTAGATAATTCAATTGCGAAAACATGATATCTATACTTTGCTGACTCATTTTCTGGTTCGTAAATCCCGTAGTTTCCGGGGCTTCTACGCGTCAATGCACCAAGTGAAAACACTTGTTTAGGCTGTGTTCGTTTCGTTCTTTTTTTCAGAAAAATTGTTCACGCTCAAGTTCGTTTTCCGCTGATTTTTTTTACCTAGTTGAATAGTTGGTTAAGAGTCAATGAATTTAGAGAAATTTCTTGTATATGTCTTGATGATTTTTGTTCCAAACGACGCTTCGAAAAATGGGGAGGAACTTTGCATTCGGGTGTGAGAATTTCCCAGTGTCAGAAAAACCGGTGTCATATTTTTGATGTTCGTCTAATTAAGAGCAAGTTAAGCAGGCTTACAATTGCCTGAAAGCTTGCAATAGCTTAATTTAAGCTGTAAAAACTTAGTTTTATTCGAGTACAGTTTTTTTTGAGTACATTTTTTTAGCACCTTTTTGAATCAAAATTCAAAAACTGCAAAAAAAAGTCTTTGGTTTTTATTTTTCTAGTCATTTTCGTACAAAAAATGTTTTTTAAATTTATGATTTTTCTATGACTTTCGGATATTCCTAATCTCTAGTTTTTTGAAAAAAGACTACGCTGAATTGATTTCGTGCAGTTTGACTTTTGATTTTTCTACTCCCGCGAGTAGCAAGCGTTACCAAATCGGAATACAGACTGAGCCTGGAGGTAAAGAAAACGCCAGGGACGGCAAAGATCGTGGACTCAAATCTCACCAGGATCTGTTTTTTTTTTGGACGCATTTTTATATGCAGTTGCTTCTAGTGCTTTGAAATACTCCTTCAAATTGTAATTTTACTAGCATTGACTTAGTTTATTTGGCTTTTTTTGTTTTCTTAAAAAAATTAAATCGGCTTAAATGATTTCGTCTTATTACACTTGCGAGCGTACTGTAATAGTACGACTATTCTTTTTGGAAATATTGGTGCCTCATTTGGGGCACCTTTGCAGTATTTGGTTGGATGCGCTTTGACATTCGATTAGTAATAAGTTAACACAGTTGATGCATTTTTGAATCCATCTAATGAACCGAAAAGCGCTAACTGTTTCAAACAAAAGTACAATTAAAAACTGATTTAAAGAAAATTTCCAACTCGATATGTCTCCCCTTTTTTTTGAAATGGATAATTTATACATAATTTGGCTTTATGCTTTCCAATTACTTACATGCAAAATTAGTGTGGATGTCTTCAGCTTGTTATATTGTAGATGTTTTACTAGCAAATTGTGTCTTTTTATATCTGGTAACTTTTGCTCCATAGCATTGGCGGTTTCTTAGCATGTGTAGCTGCTCTATTTGTCGCTAGTGTTTGTAACTTGTCAAGGGAACCTGCGCAGTTGCGAGGACAGGGAAATCTAATGCTCCCGGTCGCAGGATCGAATCCGCCACAGCAGAAAAATTAATTTTCAAAGCTTATATTTACCTCTCCGTTTTTTCAATTGATTGAGCTGCTTTGTCATTTTAATGCTAGAGTTTGCGAATTGCAGCTTCGCCTCTATGTAATTTACTGGTTTAGTGACCTAATTTTTAGGTAGTTGTAAGGGAAGTTCAGTTGAGAGTTTTTGCATGACAGCCATTTTTTTCGGTTCTATTGTAAGTTAGTTAAGTTTTTCCCGCTCAGCTGTCGCCAAAATTTGAATAATTTCTGGATAATTGCTTTTGAGTTTCCAATGATTGCCGTCGATTCTGTTTCTGGACGTGTTTTTTGCAATTTTAACATTTTTCCATACAGTTTGATCTTTTTGATTAATACCAACTGTCTGTATAATAACGCATTCTTACACCATTAACATAATGAACGCACTGTTTTTTACTAATCGACGTTGAAACTTGCGAATAAATGTGCTGTTTTGGTGGTACTTTTGCTGCCTAGTATTGATAATCTAATAGGATCTTTTCTATCTGCTTCGTTAGTAGCTGGTGTTTGCCTATCGTCAAGCGACCATGTTGCAGAGCGAGGATATGAGGCTGTTAATATGCTGGTCGGGGTTCAATTCCGTTACATAGCTAAATTATTGTCGGCTTAGTTACCGCTTTGTAATCTAATGCTCGGTTAAGGCAGAAAATTACCATTTTCGACATGTGTCTTCTAAAAATGATTTTCATTCGAGAGAAAACGTGATTTGAAATCTTTGTTGGATGGTTTTTTCCATCATTTTTTGTTCGAAATTTGAAATTCAGCTCATTACATCGGCTTAGTAGACATGTTATGTTTGTGATGTATCGCAAGAGGTGAGAAGATCAGCTTTGTCTCTGTGGGCAATGTATTTCTCGGAGACTTTTTGTTGAGGTTGTATTTCAGACTTTCAGTGTTTTAATTTGATATATGAGGTGCTTTCAAATCGTTTTGTTTGTGTTGTTTTTGCGTGGAAATTATCACGTTTTTTTTTATGCATTTGTGGTCATCCTGGATTCGATATTTACTTTTTAGGCATCAACACTAGAAAGAGCTTGTCTGTCGAAAGAAAATTTGCGCCGAATAGCGGATACCCTAACCGAAGACAGAGAAAAGAAAAAGACGGAAAGTTTTTCGGAATCAATTGACAATGGAAACGAGTCTTCGATGGACATCGAAAGTCCAGAAGAGCCAGATGGCCAAGGTTATCTTTTGCACTTTATCTATTGAGCCATTATTTTTGTAATTAACGTTAACGGTATCAAACCACAGTGTAAAGATGAAAGTTTCTTGAATTTCAATAAACCTCAACGTCAAATATAGAAAGTGTTCCAAAGCGACCTCTCGTCTTCCCGCGCGAGGAGAGATATATCAATAGGTTCTTGAGGCATAATTATATTCACTTGGAACTAGTTTCATTTAAATGAAATTATATGCCAGATTCTCTCATTTGGTCGCACATTAAGCCGGCTTTTTTGTCTTTAATGACGAAACATAAGCAATTAGGTACCATATTAAGGTGCTACATGGAGCAATTTTTGGTATCTAGAAAACAGATTGGAACATCAACCCTGGCGATTTGCTTAGCTCAAAGAAATGACCGCATTAACAAAAAATCAAAAAAAGTTTGAAAAATGGTCGATTTTTTTTCGACACTATAAAAATAACTCAGTCAGCATATTTATTGTGTGCTACTTGCCGATCACCACCTGTTTGCCTTTGACAGTGAACGTTGTTGTGGTCTTATGAGTCGATCAACTTAGTTTAGACTCTTATATAGGTTTTGATGATTTTTTTTCAGGACATAGTTCAGTCTCAAAATCACGTTTTCGCGGTTTGATTTATGGTTTCTTTTTAAGTTCAGTTCATTTCCTTTGTTGAAAGGAAGGCAAACTCCGCTATCGAACAGCGAAAGTGTAAAGGTCACTAAAATGTGATCGGCTTCTTTATTTTGATTTTTCGCTGTTTGACTTTTTTTTAAGTTCAGCGCTGTTCCATTATTAAAGCAAGGCAAAGCCCACTATCGTGATCGACTTCTGAAGTTTGATTTTTTTTTGCGGTTTGACTTGTGATTTTTTAAAAAATTTAATCAATTCTCATTTCCATTTTTAAAAGGAAAGCAAACCCGACTATTGAACAGCAAAAGTGAAAAGGTCACCAAAAACGTGATCGACTTCTAGTTTCAAAAGTAGTTTAATTGTCAGATTTCCCAGCGAACTAAATGTTTACCGATTGATCCAGATTCCACACAAGCATACCTTGTGTTATAGTATGAATTTTCTTTTTTTTTCAACCTAAGTCGCAAATATTGTTGCGATGCAATTGTTGCGACAAAATGTGTTCATTTTGAAAGTGTTCATTTTGATCCAGATATTAAGTACAGTCAATGCTAAGGATATTGACACAGACTATTACATTACAAATAGCACTTTAGCTTCAAGACATGATGGATATGTTGCGTAGAGGTAGGGAAGGAGAGCCACAACAAAGTAAGAGAGTTCGAACCTGGGCAGGGTCGGATGTTTTTGATGAAATTTTTCGTATAATAATTAAAATGCATCCGCTCTATAAATGGAGGCAATTTTGTTGGTAATTTTTTTTTCAAATTGATTGGGACTGCTAATGCGGCATAATTGGCTTGCGGCACTTAGCAATTATGTAGATTCATAATTGGCGTGCGTCACCTATGAAATTTAGTAGACTCAAAGTTTTACTCATTCAGTTTTCCCAGTAGCGTTATCGGTCACATTTTTGCTTCTGTATGCGAATTGCAACTTCGCCTCTGTGTCTCGAATTGGGTAATCTTCATGAAAATATTGTCAGTTATAAACTGTTCTAGAAAATCAAAGAGGTTTAAGGCCATCTGTTTTTTTTTGTTCGAAATTCGCAGACAGATTTTTTCTCAAAAAACAAGTCAATTTTTTTCCTCTTTATTTGCGTTCATTACTCTTTTCCAACTGTCAGTTGGCTATGTTTTCGTTTTTGCTTGCTGCGATAAGTCAATTGTTGGGAGATTGCTCAATTTATCCTGAAAGTTCTGTTGTTCTCGCATCTCTTTGAGAAGCAAAAACGCAGAAAATCAGAATAATTGAGGAGTCATCTTCCAGTTTAGCGCTGCCTTCCTGGATGATCGTTTTTGGTTCTGGCAATTCTATTGGGATTATGCCAAAAATCATTTTTGAAAATAAACTTTATGCATTATAATTTAATAAAGGATTGGCGGGGTTTAATTTTAGGCGGGGTCCCAATTTTATTCGGATCTGCTGAAGCAACGCCGCCTCTATCAGATGACGAAAAAATTTCACGTTCTGAAAAACCAGCACCCTTTGTCAACCAAACTGTTAACAAGGACCAAAATCCAGCTGTCCAAACATCAGTGCAGTTGCCAGCTTTTACACCACAAGGTGGAAATGTTCAGTTTCGACCACAAATGCCCAACTTTTTACCCCCGCCACCATTCGCGTTGTGGTCTCTTCACAATGCAATGCAGACGCATCCAAATCAAATGCAGTGTCAACAACTTCCTCTTAACATTCCAACTTCTCTGCCTTCCTCAATCGTTCCGCCGATTCCACCGTTGCCGCCGAAAATTGAGAAAATTCCCCCACCGCCCCCTCCGTCGAACCCCCCTCCACCTCGTATGGAAAATGGGCCGCAAAGAAGTCTCAAACAGGTGGTCAGTTATTCGCCACTGAAGTTACAAGAGCATTTGTCTTCGACTGGAGAAATGATTAGTCAGAACAGACTTCAGAAACCGATGGCGAATAGTCAAAATAGGATGATAGGAGGGATTCTACCGACGCCACAGAACAGTGAGTTTTTTTTTCTAGTTTTGCTTCGACATGATGAAAATCCTGTTTGATAAATAACATGTATTATGAAAATATATAGGAGTTGGTTTTTTGTTTAACCTTGTGATAAAAGGAAAACTAGTTTAGGAAGCATTATGTAGCGCTTTCTTGGCAGTAAAAAGATTCTGAAAACAGAATCTTTTTTTTTTGTTTCATCAAAGGTTTTGGGCTAAGTTTTTTGTTTCGTTTGTTATTCATTTTTCGAAGAGAACTAATGTCGATTATGCCTTGTATATTTCAAAAGCGCATTAAAACGACCCAAAACGGATATCTTGTTTACTTTGGCAGTAATTATGCTGGTTTCATTAAAAAAAACTGTTCAAACTTTTCAGATCCTCCCCCGTTTAAGAAACAATTGCCTCCACCGCCATCTCAATTGCGTACGATGAGACCACCTGGATTGATCAACTCAGGTGACATTGACTATCGCAGTATAGGATCCCCTTTGAAACCAGCTCCGAATGTTCCTCGTGATGTTGACATGCGGTATCAATGGGGAATTGCAGATGCGAACAAAGGACCTCAAACAAGCAGTCAAAGTACGGGAAAAGGGTCTTACTTGATGCCCTCAATAAAGCGACCAACCATTACTATTGCACCCCTATCATCGCATCTACAGTCGTGTGAAACAAGAGAAAGTATACGCAATATCGGAAACCAGATCTCGGTTGAAGAACCACCTGATGTTTTGAGGCCAGGAGGACAATCTATTCAACCAGCTTTATACGTCATTGAAAGTAGCAATAGTTCAATGAGTGGTTCCAAAAACGATGAGTCTTCTATTGAAAATGAGAACCTTCGTCTTTGGCAAGAGGCGGTGGCCTCGATGGCACAGAAGCGTCGAGCTAAAAGGCATCAACCAAGCAGCAGTACTAGTTCTTCCAACACTCGGAGATCAAGGATTGTAGTTCCACAGGAACCGGAGAAGTCGGTATCCCCGCCACTGATTGTCCCGATCGAAGACGATATTAAAGTGGTTGAAATCGAAAACTCACCAACTTCTGAAAGTCTAATTCCGATCTCAAACGATGAAGATGATTTTGATGATACAGAGTCGTTTTACGAGGAGCCAGAGGAAGCTGTTAATCCTGGACAAAGGAATCCAAATAGTGGAAGTACGGAGTCCAGTTCAGACGACGAAGAAATAGAATTACTGGAATTAAGAAGAGAAGCCATGAAATCAATGGTGGAAAAGGATAAAGAGGATCTGGAATTGGAAGAGTTGAGAAAAGAAGCTTCGAATACATTGAAAGAAATTAATACCAAATTCTCTGATGTGTCTAAGAGCATTGGGAGCCTCAAAACAGTTTCGGATTCTGATGATTTGCCAACTAAAGTACTGGAATCAAAAACTACCGCTCAATTATCGGAATCCAAAGATAATGAAAAAGAGGTGCAGGTACTTTCAATGGGAACAGAAAAGGAAAACGCTAAAACAGAAATCTCGAAAAAAATTGAATCAGCCGTCGGTGATAAAGAAAATAATGATGGGGCGGAAAAAATATATGCAGAGAAGACTCAAAAACATTCCAATCCAAAGCAATCTGGCAAAATAACTTCCCCTTTTGTCAACAAATTAGGTGCATCACAGTTTCTTAGTAGCGATACGCGTATAAAACTTCCCGGTCAAAATACATCTGTCATCGACAATAGCAGAATTGTACAAGCGAAGTTGAACTTAGAAACAAAGGCTCCATTTAGCAGTACAACTAACCCGGAATTGAAAATGTCCCAAGATGAAGCGAAGTCATATCTGAGAAGTAAAGTTGCCGTTGAATCACAAGTCACACAGCAAAAGAAAGATGGAATTGCTGCTTGTACTAGTAAAAATACAAGTAATGTAACTTTGACTGGAGCGTTGTTGAAACTCCAGTCATTTCAAAAAATGTCTGGCGCGGGATCGTCACCTTCATTTCAAGTTAAGAATCATAAGTTCCAACTTATCAACCAGAATTCAAAGCCAACCAATTCTGCATCTGATTTTTCATTGGCTATGGAGAAACAAACACATCAAACAAATCAGCGCGTCTTGATTAACCGCCGCAGAATCAAACGAAACTCTGTTAGCTTATCGGGACGCGTCGCAAAACCTGTAGCAAAGGCTGTAATTGCTAAGTCAATTCAATTTAAAATGATGAAAAGTAGTCCTGCTTTAAACCAGAAACGGATCTCAAGGTTCGCAACATCCAAATCGAACATCGGAGCAACGAGGAGTGGGGTTAAAAAGAACCCGTTTTCAAAAGTGAACGCTAAGCGTGTAAATTACGACTGCCAGGCACCGAAACACCCCCCACTGGTTATAAATTTTGGAGGGGAAAGATATGAAAGCAGTGACGAGGAATGCAATCTTAATGAGGGCGATTGGTATGGTGCTTCGTTATCCGATTCAGACATCGTATCACAAACGTCATCAGGAGTTGCAGGTCCTTCGAGTAGTGTGCTAAGTGGAAAACACATGGCGTCAATGCTAAGTTGGACTCCAAGTGATGTGTCAAACTCGATTATTGACGTTGATTTGAAAATTGATTCTAAAAAGTATGGAAAAAGTAGTTTGAATCCGTTCGCAAGAAAGAGGCACGTTGGAAAGATAGCGTTGAATACGGACCCGTTTTCTGAAAATAAGTTTCAATTTGTGAGGCAAAATAGTGATGAAGTCGTTGCTGAAACTCCGGTTGATGATCTAGTTTCAAGTTTATCGGATTCAGAACTGTCTAGCCAAGTTGTGTCTGAAAGTTGCGGAACCGAATATCAAGAAAATCGTGCAGTTATAGAAAATCAAGACACATCATGCATGACGAGTTCTGCAGCCAACATTAAAACTAACACGGAATCAAGTGTTGTTCTCGATCATAAAAAGAAGGACAAAGAAATAGTTAAGGACACTGGTAATTCGGAATCGAAAGCTTCAAATGAATATTTGAGGAACGAAACAGCACCTGACAAGACGCCGCCTGGTCACAGAAATATATTTGATATTTTTGATATTGACGATGAAGAAGAAACAAAAGACACAAAAATGGAGTCGATTAAAACTGGTTTTGAAACGAAACCCGCTATTAGTGATCAAAAGCAACAAGGCAATGTGGGAAACATAGAATCAGGATCGAATGAAGCGTATAGTACAACCGAAAGTAAAACGAAGAAATCTGAAAAATCAAATCAACCAACTGAGAAAATAAGCGAAAAAGAGCAGCATGAAAATAGTGATTCGCCAAGTCAATTTGAAAATGTGATAGCAAGAGAATCAGATTTGGTCACGGAGGCTCAAAAACCGAATCTGGATTCAACTGGAGGTGAAATTTTGCCGTGTGCTCAAGTTCCGAAGACCATGGATGAAATGATTCGCAGTGCACGAATATCAGCTTCCTTGGTAAGTTGATGTCAATCAAAACGTTTTTAATTTCAAAATACTTACCAAAAACTATAAATAGAGAGTAGAAAGTTTTCTTTTCTTTCAATTGGATATCGAATATTTTTTAAATTGAATCCATAATTTTTAGTAGCCTTTTTTCAAGAGAATTTACTCCGGTCAATAATAGATGTTTTTTATGACCATGTAGTGCGCTTTTTCATTTTACAGCTGCTACAAATTATCTTTCTTGGGGCTAGCAAAGCTCTTAACTATTCAGCATTTGAGGAAATTTTGCGCTTGATGATATCATTGATGCAATGCCTCTTGGAAATATTATTTTAAAATATATTTACAGGCAAGTGACCGGAATTCAGCCAGTGGTGTCGAAGTTACTCCGGAGAGCATACCAGAGTCTGCAAGAGAAGAGGAATCGGCAGTTGCCAGGAGAAAAATTGCCGAAGGCGTGACTGTTTCTGACGCTAAAAGCCTATCTTCCCTTGCAGTTGTGCGACAGCCATCTGTGGGAATTGTTGTGCCAGCGACCAGTGACGCTCAAGTGGCTTCCAGTTTCAGCACATCAGTTATCAAGCAGTTCAAGAAGCAACTGTTGTTTGTTAAGTAAGAGACCAAAAGTTAGGGTTTTGTTGTGGCTTGCAAGCAAAAATCTTTGATAATTGCATCCTGTTTGCAGGACTTCGCGTGAGGAGACTGAGCTGTCAATCTCGTCCACTCGCAAACAACTGAAGAGAACTCAGGCGAAGTTGGTGGATGCGGGCCAGTTGGCCTCGGATCTGAAGAAGCAGCTGGCAGCAGTGCACAAGACAATAGACTCACTGAGACAAACAGCGGGTGACTGCGACCGAAAGGTAGAAGAGTTATTTCTCGTGTTTTGGTAGTATATTACGCCATTTGGTTTCACGTCGTCGTTTTTGTTCCGACTACACTTACAACAGTGAGAAGAAACTTTGGTGTAGGGTGGATTGTTCAGTCGATTTTGATAACATTAAAGCTGGTCTGAACTGTGTGTTGTTTAGGCTCAAACTTGGTTAGCGTAGTCTGAGTACTCCGAATAGTTCAGAGACTCTTCATTTCAGCGATCAACGATAAGATGTGAAAGGCTGATTACTAATATTTGGAGGCATACTGTCGTCTGTCGATTTATCATTTGACTTTGTATTTTTTGAAATTTATTTTCTCCATTTCTCAATTATTTTTTGTGCTAATCAACTGATTGCTTTCTATTAATCCTTTAAAACTCAAAATATTTTTTTCTATTTTCTCCAAAAGTTCATCAAAATTTAAATTTCCCGAGAACAAAATTGTTTCGCTTCCAGCATTCACCTCTGTTCTAAATTTTGATGGATAAATTTCCTTCTCACGTTTAGCTATTGGAGCTGGAACAGAAGGATAAGGCAATGATAGCTTTCGAGAAGCAACTGCTTCAAAAAATGAGTGTCGCGCAAACTGTAGAATCTACCAGCTCTACGATGGATCCAACGACAAAACCAGAAGAACTACTACGCATCGCTAGCTCAAACAAGCTGATCAGGAGTCCACTTAAACTTGATCGGACATCGATCACAAAGACGAAGAGTGTCGGAGGTCTCACTATTTTGACCAGAGATATACCAGCAAGTCCAAAAGTGGGTGATCCAAAAGCGACCACGCCTGTGCGGCTGATGGCCAGAAAAACAATTGCGGGTTCTACTGGAAAAAGGAAGAAACGAGAGCCTTCAAGTGCTGTTAAGACCACAGAAACAACACAAGATAAAACAGGGGTTAAAGACTCAAAAGTAACAAAAACGGACGATTCCAGAAGTTTAGACGCTGAAGTAAACCGAAGAGATGTGTCGGAAGCTTCGAATTTGGTAATAAGGACTGGAATTCCTGGTTTTTCTGGTCGAGAGAAAGACGATAAGTCAAAACCAGTTACCTCTGTAGCTACATTGAAAAAAGAGATATCATTAGCGAAAAGTAATACGAGCGTACAAGATGCAAAATCAAGTTTAGCAGCGGAGTTAGAAGCGACCAATCAGAAACTAGCAATGATGAGGTCAGCAGTGATTGCTTCGGGTCAAAATGTTCCCACGAGGTGGAAAACAAACACGCCTAAATGGCACAGTCTTTCGAGGGTGTCCAGGTCAATTATCAGAAGAGGATACGTTCCTAGGAATGTCCAACCGTCGAAGTCAGATCTCCAGAAGAATAACTTGGTCATATCAGAAAATTTTACTCAAGAAAAGCAATCATCTAGTACAGTTTCTGGTACATCAAGTGACGCGAAAGATTTAGTAAATGTGAAAACACCAACCGGACGCAGACCTCTAACAAGAAGTAGAAGTTCAATAATGTTGACGAAAGATCAGAACTTGAATTATGGAAGCAAGGCAGCAAGTGGATCGTCTTTGCCCCTGAAGAGTTTCCAGTCAAATCCAGCGGTTCTTTTGGCTGCGATGAAGACTAAATTGGCAGACATGATGACTAATTTTAATAACAGTGAGAAATATCTACAACCCAAAGACAATAACGTAAGTTACACTCCACAAAAATGGCGCCATTTAGTTTCGAAATGGACTGTAATTTTCACATTTTCTAGTGGAATGAAAAATTTACCTATAGATCCAGTTTTCTGAAATTAGTACATTTTGTCAAAAATGTTAATCTAAAATTGAAGTTGAATTTGAAGTAGCTTTAAGGGACATTAACTTTTTCGTTTGTTATTCTAAGGTTGACTGTTTCCCATGAAATCTCTTTTTTTGCAATTATATGGATGCTTTTTTTTTCAGTTGCCGAAGCTGTCAATCAAAGATGTCTCGATTCGGAAATTGAAACCAAACCTGAAGCCAGAGATATCTCCAGAGATCGGAAGGTACAAAGGAATGGGAGTAATTGGAAGTTTCGATCCTTCTAAATTTAAAGCGGACGAGGAGAAATATGATGTGAAATACATTTATGACAGTCCTTTGAAAGCTTTTAAATCTTACAGGTGAGCTCTTCACTACGTGGGTTCAAGGTTTCAATCATATTCTCGAAAGTCAAATGTTTCAATCTGAATTTTTTTTTCGAAATATGCGTCAAGACTCTTAATAGATTGTACAAATCATCATTTTGAAATTTTTATTTTAAAGAGTCGATGAACGCAGTGAAAACTCTTATCTAGGTCTTAATTACGCTTGTGAAGCAAAGTGTATTTGTACGAACTTTCTTTTTTCCAATCTAAGTCGCAAATAAAAGTGCTACTTTTGGTGGCGCTTTTGAATCGGTAGGCTACGGTAGCAGTATGTCATATGTACTTCAACATTTGATTAGTAAAAACTCAACACAGTTGATGCATTTTTAATTTATCAAATGATCCGAAAATTTATTGTTTCAAACAGCAGTACAATAATAAAAAGCTCGATAGCTAAAATTTCCAACTCAATGTATCTCGGAATTTTTTTGAAATGCATAATTTTTCCATAATTTGGCTCAATGCTTTCCAATTTTTTACATGCAAATTTGTGTCTTTTTGCATTTGATGCTACTTTAGCTGCATCGAATTGGCAATTTATTAGCATATATATCTGCGTTATTGGTGGCTAGTTTTTGGGGATTTTAAGCATCAGTGGCTGAGTGGTTAGTGCGTGAGACTCAAATTTGCCAGGTCACAGATTTGTATCCGACACGTAGCCTTGTTTTTGCTTATTCGAGGCCTGTGTTCTCGCAAGTGTTTGCGAAGTGCAGCTTCGCCTCTGTATTTTTTCCGTTTTTTTTCCGGAAAAAACTTGAAATGCTCTAATAACAAAAAAGATGCGTTCATACTTATAAATGCACATAAGGATGCATTTAGGTATATATGCAATTTTAAATTTCAATTCAAGATATCTATGAACTTTTTTAGTTCAATTCAAGTTAATTTGGTAGAAGTTGCATTTGGTAGGAGGTGAAATGCACTCTCCAATGATGAAAGCTGAATTGGCGCTTAAAACATGGATTTCTATTTTTTGAAGGAACAACATACGAGCTGTACAGCTCATTACGGAAAACCGTTGTTGTGCCCTGCTTAAGAACTAAATGCAATTTTTTTGCTTATTTTTCTGGGCTAAATAATGTTGCCTCACCCTCAAGCAACGAGCACAGATCATGGTGGGCCTCGAACATCCGATCTTTCAATTGAGAGGCGGACACGTAACCGCTTCACCGCGGCTCCCCGGCGCTAAAAACAATGGCGCTAAAAACATGATCGATTTCGGAAGTGGAGTTTATTTTTTAGATTTCCCATCGTAATAAAACTTTTTCCTAATGATCCAGTTTTCTCAAATTGGGTTATTTTTATCAAAAAATGCCAATTATAAATTGCTGTTGAAATTCAAAAAGCTTTAAGGCCATTTATTGTTTGTTTGTTATTTGAAAGTTAACATTTTTCAAAAAACAAGTTTTTTCTGTTTCATGGTTGACTTTTTTCCAACTCTGTTGGCTATAAATTTTGAAGACTGAGTAATTGATTCAGGTTTTGTCCGAACTTTCTGTTCGCCTTCAAAGGAAACGAAGGTAGTGTCACGTGGTCACACACAATTGACCCCTTCGTAGCCCTGTGTCCATTTGACCTCCACGGGCAATGTGCAGATAAATTATGCTCGTTCCAACATGCAAAAGACTACGCTCTTACGCGCATGCAATTAGCATGTGATCTGTTAGCATATCTTCACATATCGCCAGAATCTTGCGTGTTTACGGAACAGTCGCTGCAAAAACAAGTGTCGAATAAGAGAGAACAATTTGATGATTTGCAAAAGAAGCTAGAAACCATAGTACAGCAGATAGCGAGAAACGAGTTGGCAAATTTGACAAGATCTCAAATTGTAAAAGATATGGTTAGCTCAGTAAATCGCTCGAGAGTTTCGTCGTTGAAAGCAGGAGAACCAATTCCGGAACACCATATCATGCCTGGAAGCAGATCGTGGCGACCTTTGAACTCTAGAAAACGTCTACATCAAGTGTCAGAACTAGAAACAGTTTCAGATGCCACTCAAGATCCGAAAAAAGCGAAGATTGACCAATCAACGGATTCCAATGACGTTTTAGCGAATGTTCGTTCAAAACTAGAAGAGACCAAAGTTCAAAATGCAATCGAAGTTGCGACCAAGATCCAAAATCAAATCAAAAGCGCAGACCCAAATCAAATTGGCTTGAGGGCATCTCATGACCAAAATGACAGAAACGTTCGATATTTCGATGGTTCATGTGACCGAAAAAGCGCGAAAGAATTGAAAAGTCTTATTCAGTCTGAGAGCGGTGACGTCACAGCTTGGATTGAATTAGCCAAATGGACCGAAAACAACCCCCAAATTAAAAGTCACGAAATCGTGCAAAAAGCAAAGCTCAGTGTGCTAGCTAGATCTCTCGAAGTGAACAGAACTTCAGTGGAGTTGTGGGAGTATTATGTGACGGAGTTTGCAAAGACTAGTTTCAATACAGTGTCTAGTATTGTGAGTTTGTGCAATGAGGCTTTGGCTTACGTGGACTCAGATTTCATTCTTCATTTGGTGAGTTAAGATACATCCAAGTTCCTGAGTTGAAAGTCAATTTCTTCAAAACTTCAAGGATTTTTTGCACTCCCCCGCTTGTTACAAATTTTCTATTTTCACGCTGTTTGTTTATGCGCGATTTCGTAAGGTACTACAATTTACAATTGATTTTTATTTGCAAAGTTTTGTAAAACTTTAATGTGCTTAAATTGTATGTTAGATTTTTTTGTAAAACTTTAATATTTTTAAATTATATGTTAGATCTGTGAGCTGGAGACGAAGGCAAAGAAGAAACTAGAAGTTCTGTCCAAGCTAGTTGACAAAGCACTGGCTCAACAAAAAGGAGTGCTGTTCATCCAACGAATGCTGTTGCTTATCAAAATCAACTTGCTTACTTTCCGGGGTCAAACGCCAGATAAGAACCATGTCGTGAAAGTGTGTGAAAAACTTCAGGTGAGTGCTGTTTCAAAAAAAAAACAATATTTGGTACTATCCGATTTTGAAAGTGTCAATGAACGTAGGTAGTGAAGACACGTATATAGCAAATGCGTCGAAAATGTGTCGCTTTTTTCCGGTTCTCTTGAGTACATTGACTCTTTTCCAACTGTCTTTTGCAAATTTTTTGGAGAATTTTGGAAGGGGATATATCATAAGGAATTGATGTATGCTAAAAACTTCTGCTATAAATGTTGAAAGCGCCAGCGATTGTTTTCAAAATACCTAATCAAATGGCCAACGACTGATAAGTTTTTCTTTATAGAACTTGATCAAAAACGGCAGCACTCTGGTTCATTTTTTGGACCCGAAGCAGTTGTCGTTTCTCTGGCTCATCCTCATCCAGTTGAATGACTCATCTTCTCTCCCGTCTTCACTCGATGTTCACATGGTCGAATTCTTCCCACAGTGGATGCAGAAAAACTCTGAATTTGTGAGTGAAATCCGTAATTGATTGGGAGTAGGTAACACAACAAAATGGCAGCAAATTCTAACTTTCGTCTTGATATCTAAGAGAGATATAATGTTTTTGAGCTCTATTCCTATTTCGGAAACAAATTGGTTATTGCTTTCAGTGTCAACGCAAAGTTTTGCTACGTGAGAAATATATGTGTTATATATGAGTTTTTTGAACGCTTAATATGCTCGTTTTTTAAAGCAAGTCTTTTAAAAGTCTAATCACCTAAAATTATAGTTTGTAAGTTTTGGCAATGTCACTGAAATTGTTTCAGGAGCCGTTTGAAATTGAGTGGGCAACAAGTTCAATATCAGATCTCAGTGCCATTCTGGAAATGTTCGAAGGTATGCATTGCAGCACATCATTTTGCTCTGATTTTAATTGTGTGTCATATTGTTAATGAAGAAGACAGTTGTTTCTTTTTTTTTAAATTTTGTTCCGTTGTTGCTGATTTGAAATTCAAGTGTCTGGTATGTTTGCGTGGAATGAACTTCTATCGAGACATATGAAAGTTTATATGACCTAGTTTTTTTTTTCAAAAATTTTCTTTTTTTTTTCGGCTTTTTGTTTTATTTTATATTTGTGTTGTATCACGAGTGGTGCGAAGCTTCGCTTCATCTCTGTGTTGCATTTTCGATTTGATAAGAAATGTTTCTGCTTAAAAATTGTATTTGCGAATTCCTGAAATATGGAGTTGTACTTGTCCCTGAAAAAATATGGACAGATTTTTTTGCTCACTGAATTGTGAGGAAAGTGTTTTATAGCTGCTTTCAGCTATTTTTAAGTCCCTTCACTTTACGTTTTGCCGATCTATGTTTCTTCGATGCGATTTAATGTGAACTTTGTAATAATTTATACAAAACGACAATGCGATCAGATTTTCTCGTTTCAGTTGCTTCGGAAAGTGTTCGCAGTCACTGCGTGGCTTTGGATCTTCCCAATCTGGAGGCTATGTTCCATATCAGGAGGAACTATGCCAGGCTCCTACACTTCCACAAAGAGTCAGTTCTTTTTCTTGACAAATCAACGCATTTTCCATTAGTATCAAATTATAATCATTTTTGGACAATATTTAAGAATATAGGGTTATCAAAAAGAGCAGAAAGTTGTGCGATGCTGTAAGGTTCTAAAGGTTCTCTTTCTTGAGGCAGTTGTCATGCACGAAAGACAGGATGCTTGAAAGTTTTCAACCAATCAATGTCCTGTACACGGTCCAAAACTGACAAATTTTATCGCTCATTTGCATCGAAATTATGAATAATGAACTCTGATTGGTTGACTTAATATTCGAGCATTCGGTCCTTCGCGCATGTGGATTCTAGCAGATATCTTCACTAGTCGCATTGAAAACACTCAATTTTATTCTACAATTTTTGGACAATATTTTAAGAACGCTCTTATAGGATAATAAAAAGAGCAGAAAGTACTTTGATTAATTGATGTTCTGAATTTTCAATAGTTGTCTTCAAGTGTATGCAAAATTTGGCTTGCGTTGAAGCTAAGAGTTTTGCGCGCAATTTGTGACATGAAAAAAGCATGAAATCGGTTTAAAAAAATTGGTACCTGCTATAAAGCACTGATCTGTTCTAGGCACAAGCGAGCCAATAATCTTCTGCTGGAATGTCTGCGATCTTCCTACACTTGTTTTCTTCCATCCAACCCAGAAAAATGCTGCGAGTTTTTATCTATTTACGCTTTGCAGACAGTTCAGTTTGCCTACAACCCCAATGGAATCAAACCAACTCTGGATTCAGTAAGTTGAACTGTTAAATTCATTCGAGAAAGCAAGAGATTTACTTACAATCCACTAACTTTTTCCATTGGTTGGGAAATTACGTTTTTATTTATGATCAGGTTGAAGTGCATTTTTAAGTTTTTTTTTAAGTTTTTGAGGTTCCGTTTTTTTAAGAGTAATGAACGTAGTGAGTACTCTTATATATGTATAGGTCTTGCTGATTTTTTTTCTTTTTTCCGGAAAAAGTGTTAAAATTTGTTCACGCTCAATTTTGATTTCGCGTTTTGACTTGTGATTTCTTATTAAGTTCAATGCATTTATTTTGTTAAAAGGAAGGCAAACTCCACTCTCGAACAGCAAAATTGTAAATGTCACGAAAGCGTCATCGACTTCTAAAATTGAAAAAATTAAATTACTTATCAGATTTCCCAGCGAAATCAAAAATTTTGACCGTTTTCTCAAATTGGGTTAATTTTAACAAAAAAGTTTCCATCATTAATTGGTCTACAAAATCAAAGAGCTTTAAGGCCATCTAATTTTTTCTTTGAATTTGAAATTCAAAAGCTGAAGATTTTTGAAAAACAAGTCGGTTTGTTTTTCAATTTCTTGCGTTCATTACTCTTTTTCCAACTGTCAGTTGGCTAGATTTTCTCCGACCACTTCACGAAGTGAGGCGAAGGAACTATGTCATATGGTGCGTTGTTTCTCCCGGTTTGACTAATATAAAAAAATAGGGGCCAAGTCTGGTATCACATTAAAAATAAAGTCTGGGGTCAAGTATCACATTAAAGCAATTTCACTCGTTATTTGGATTCCAAGAAGATTTTTTGGTAAATTTTTCTGAGCGTCGAGAAGAACTAGTTTTTGTGCTAATTTACTCGGGGAGTAGACGCAAAATCTAAAGTTATGTGTTGATTAAACTACATGATTTTGCAATATCAATTTTATTCAAGCTCAATCTTTGTTGCATGATATCCAAGAAAAAGTATAAGTTTAGGCAAGTGATTCCTGCTCGGGATGTCAAACCATGTAGTCTCTCTTTTTTGATTTTTTGTTCAAGGCATATGTTTTTGAAAATTCTTGCTTCTTCTTCATGTCGTTTTTGCGCTTCCAGTTTTCCTCCAAGAAACGTTTTTTTTTTGTTTCTGGCCGTTTTCGTTCATGCTCTGTTTTCGCTTGCGATTGGCAAGCGTGATCAAATTGGAGCATATTTTTTTTCAAGTTAACAATTTTTCTTACAGGCTGATTTTCCCAAATTCAAATTTAAGTGCTGATTTCTATTACAGCGTAGCCTTGATATTGCAGTGCTGTTGTGAACTTTTATTTGAAATTTTTTCTAGACGCAAATGCTAAGAGATCGTTTTGCCGCTTCTTCGCTTGTATTTACGAAGCTTACCTTTGCCTGTGTTTAGCATTGGTGTTTAAATTTCAGTTTTTCTCGCTACCCAAAACAATGTGGGTTAGAAATTTTTTTTGTGTCATCACTGTGGTCATCAAATTCAGAGGAGTTTTCAGAGTAACCGGCTGTTCCCGGTATAACCCCAGGTTGAGCAAAAATGCTAGTCATACAATCTTCATCAATGGAAAAATGCTAGTCATACACTTTTCATGCAATTCCATAAGTACAGAAAATTGCATGAAAGGTCTATGATAAGTGATTTTTCATATATGGAAATTGTATGACTAGCATTTTTCCATAAACCAAAAACAATGATTTTTTGCATTTTACTTTCTCAAATGTTTTTTGGATGTGTTCGTAACCGCACACATTGCACCGTGTTTACTCAAACGTAGAGTAACCAAAGGTTTGACCGTCTAGCATTAAAAATTCATCGGAAACGGCTGGAAATGTCTTTGTTCTGTCTTACACAAATAAAATAACGGAAGTATCAAACTTTTAAGTTTAAGCAAAATTTTTCAACGATGATTATTTTTGAAGTTTTAAATTATCAGACATTGATCAAGGCATACATAAACATGCCATACAAAAGAAAGAGGAAAAAGGTTATTAAGCGAAAAGGAAAAAAAATCCAATATTAGTATACACACAAAAAAAAATTAAATTTACAAACTTCGATTTGCGGTTGAAAACACAAATTTTTTTTGAGCCAATTTCAAAATTACTTGAAAAAATTTTTTGTTCTCGCCATCAAAAAAATGATTGTCACACAATTTCCATCTATGGAAATTGTATGATTAGCATTTTTGGACAAAGTTTTTCTTTTTTATTTCGTAATACACCGAATTTTATGCCAAAATAAGAAAAATGTTCTTCGAAAAATTGATGACACCACATTTGCAAAATGTATGAAATTTGAATGACTAGTATTTTTTCATAGGCTTCGTGTATGATTAGCATTATTGGTTTATGGAGGTCAACACGTGACTATAGGGATTTTCTACAATTTATATTTCAATGTTTTTTTTTTTCGTTTTGGTTTTTTTAGCGTTTTCTTAAATTTGCTGAGGTATCTTAGACATTTTGCTCGTGTTTGCGAAGTGTGGTTTGGCTTCAGCTTTGAATTATTGAATGTTTATGTTATTTTGATCCGATGATATTTTTCAGCATTTGGAGAAGATGAATTCTATTGTCAAGAAGCCAACGAAGTTAATAGAGCTATGTGCGGAATGTGCTGAAATATCTCAGAATAAGGTTCAAATTGTTTTCTTATCTGTTTTAATATTCTCATTTAATATTGTTTTAAAAATGGTGTATGTTTGAAGAAATGGCCTGCTGTTACGAGATACTTCGTTGAAACTACGCTCAAATATTTTTTCAATTCTACGCCCGAAGAAATCATTAGTCATTTCAGGTATGCATTTGTGCTTGCTTTTTACTCTATTTATTTTTGGGTCATTCTTGGGCATACTGAATTGTGTTTATGTTTTAGAAGTTTGCTGTATCTGAGTCTGACTGATAGTTTGCAGTGCATGTCTGTCCAACCAGTGGAAGAGTCTCAGAAAAAATATTTAGCTGTTATGTTGTGGTAAATATATCTCTTCATATGGATTCAACATAAAAATCAAACAAGAAATTGAGTTTTTTTCACAATAACGAAAGAATTCTATTTCAAAATTGGGAAAATATCAGGATCAATTTATTAGCATCTGAAGTATTAGGATGTTGAAGCTGAACACATTTGTTCGTCCGAAGTTTGAATCATGGAATTGGACGATACCACTGTCGTCTTGCTGTTTAGTTTCCACCTAGAACTAGAGAAGAGGAATGACGAAGTTGTGAACAGTTATGAAGAAGCACTCGAATCAGAGTTTGGTCAAAAATGCACTGAATCTAAACTCACTCTATGGTCAAGGTTCGTTATATTAACTTTAAATTTTTGTATTGCGGTTTTTTATTATTCGATTATCAATGTTCGATGTAATATAAACAGCTAGCAGGTTTGTAGCAATTTTTAGTAACTTTTTTTATCTTCTGAGCTTTCCCAAACCGCTGAAAAAGCATCGGGCGGCCGGACGTATGAAAGTAATATATCTATGGTCAGAAGGTGGAATCCCAGCTGGAGTAGAATATGACCCCTCCAATCTTCTACTGATTGTAAATGTTAAGTAGGCTGGAAATGTTAAGTAGACTATTCCTTTCAGCTACTTGAGTTTCATGATTCGTTTCATGAAACTGAACAAAAACTCGGACGCTTCTGCATTTGCGTGCGACGTACTCAAAGATCCTCAAAATGCAGTCATGGTGCTATTCCAAAAAGCAGTGAAACAATGTTGCAACATAGTTGAAGATGGCATGTATGCGTGTTGTGAGAGCTACTGCCAGAGTCTGGAGAGACTGGCGAAGATTGTGCTTCCGAATCTGGCTCTGGAGCCGAGGATTGTCATGATAGAGTTGCTGATGGAGAAATTTCCAAAGAATATCTACCTCATGAAAACGTAAAAGAGTAACTTAATTTTAGAATTAGAACATTCGAAAAGTCATAATTGAGCTTGATTGAGTTCCCAGCAATTTCTTAATGAAGAAGAACGTAAGTATTTATGTTCTTAGCATTCAAATTTCCAGCGAAAAAGCTATTAAAAATGGACAAAGTAAAAGGGCCACAACATAGTTATTATGATTTTTACTGTTCAGTGAACATAAAAATATTTAGCTCTCAGAACTTGAGAAGAATTGTTCTTTATAATTCAATTATCCAAATTACTCTAAATTCAGCGAAAGATCTGGAATTATCATTCTTCAAAGAACGGGATTCGGAAAACATTGTTAAGAATAAGCATTCCTAAGCTCTTCATAATTTAAAAGTTGCGTTGATTAATTCCTGCTTTGTATATATCTTATGGGCCATTCTAATTTAAGGTTGCGCTTCTTATAGTTATTAGAGCAGAGATGTTTTTGGGGGTTCGTTTGTGCAGATATGACGTGGTGGCCAAGTACAATCTGCGTGGAGCACAGATCAGATGTTCGATGGCACTGGCTGATACGAAGCCATGTGTGGAGCTGATCCAGATGTTAGTATGTTTCCGATGTATTCTCTAATCTTCAAAATGAATTCTTTTTGTATCGTCATTAAGGATTGTTTCGTTTTTTTTGGGACCACCTCTTCTCGCAAACAAACAAAATGAACCAAAAAAATGTGCGTGGTCGGAGCATATTGTACTATTTGCGCAGCAACCAGCTGTTCTTGGTAACTTGAGCCTTTAAGGAACTCATTAGATCAGTTGTTTTTTAGTTACTTCATTTCTTGCAATATGTTTAACTGGTTGCTATTTGAATTGATTGATATTGATAGATCTAGCCAGCTATCAAATTATTGTCTTAAATTTTAATCTATCAGCATTGTTTTACTGTGAAGATAACTTTTTACTAATATAGATGTATGAAAAACTGTAAACAATCTGCAGTAAGTCCAAATTAGAGTTCAAGGTTAGTGTAGTTTCTAATTTCAGCAGTGTAAATTCTAACTTTGTTGTGATTTAGGGCGGTGCAGATGAATCTTCAGGCAGATGACTTATCAGAGGTAAGTACAAATATAATTCCAACTTTTGAGTTGTGGTGTTGTATGTCGTGTTTCAGGCTTTGAAATGTGCGCGTTTGGGTCGTGACGCTTTCCCCTTTGTGGGTAAATTCTGGTGTGAGGAGTTGGTCATCTTGTGCTGTGCTTCGGAGTCGTGTAAAGACATTCCATGTGTCGTTCAGCTGGCGAGTGAGAGAGGAGGACTTGATCTGGGTGATTTTGTGAGCCCCGTTTTATCAAAAAATTAGATTACGCAGATAGATGCATACCTAACTTATTTTGAGTTCAAATACATACTTTGAAAAATAAGTGTTTTTAAAATTGAGATGCGTTTTGTAGAACGAATTAGAACGAAGTGAACGTTTTTTTTACAGCTGTGATTACCAAGTGTTTTCAAATAAGGTACTAGACTTCTTCATGTCTGGTTCAAGTTGTCAACATTTGTCTGACAGAAATACTTGAATCACGTGGTAAAGCACGTGAGCCAACGTTTCGTAACATTAAACTGATCAACAAACTCTGATTCGCGTGCCGAATGTGAGTGTAGCGGAGCGAAGCGGAGAAAGCGTTCGCTACTTGTCATGCTTTGTTACGGATTGTCGCTCGCTACGAATTGTTTCTATCCGGTGCAATAATATTTTCTTTTACGGGTTGCACTCATGCAGACAGCTTTAATTGCTACTTTTATAACTAATTTTCACTATATATCAAACCTTTTTTGGTATATTGTTAATCGTTACACAAAATTTTTTCTCTTCAATTGCTTTGGTACTTTTTGCTTAAAACCTTTTAAAACTATATATCAAATAGTTCAGATGATTTTTATCCAAGTATGTTCGCCGAATTTGTTTTCGAGTCTTTTGGTCGAATAATTTTTGAAGGAATCTTTACATTTTCGAAATTGTTTTTTTTTTCAATTTCAAATTTTGACAAAGAATTATATTATCTTGAATTATTTGCTTTAGCGAGCGTAGTATAATAGTACGACTTTTCTTTTTCCCAGCCTAAGTAGCAAATGTTGGTGCCACTTATGGTGTCACCTTCACGGCTTTTTGATTGCATGTGCTTTGACATTCGATTAGTAATAAGTTAACACAGTTGATGCATGTATAATTCGGCAAAAGAACCGAAAAAAGCTATTTGCTTTAAACAACAGTACAATAATAAAAACACATATTGAGTTTCATATATTTTCACTTATTTCAATAAAATCACATATTGAGGAAAATTTCAGAAGCCGATTCGCAATTTTTTGAAATGCCTAATTTATACATAATTTGGTTTGATGCTTCCCAAATTTGTACATGCAAAATTAGTGTGAAATCCTTCAGTTTGTTATATTCCAAATTATTACATGCAAAATTATGACTATTTGTATTTTGTGCCACTTTTGCTGCATAGCACTCGCCACTATTTATTAGCATTCGTACTTCACGGTTTTTCGATTGCATGTGCTTTGACATTCGATTAGTAATAAGTTAGCACAGTTGATGGATGTATAATTCAGCAAAAGAACCGAAAAAAGCTATTTGTTTGAAACAACAGTACAATAATAAAAACACATATTGAGTTTCATATATTTTCACTTATTTCAATAAAATCTTATATTGAGGAAAATTTCAGAAGCCGATTCACAGTTTTTTGAAATGCCTAATTTATACATAATTTGGTTTGATGCTTCCCAAATTTGTACATGCAAAATTAGTGTGAATGCCTTCAGTTTGTTATATTCCAAATTATTACATGCAAAATTATGACTATTTGTATTTTGTGCCACTTTTGCTGCATAGCACTCACCACTATTTATTAGCATTCGTACTTTTTTGGCTACCGTTTGTAAATTATCAAGGGCGCGTGGCGCAGATGAGATGACAGGGGTCCCTAAACCCATAGTCGTAGGAGCGAATCCGCCGCAGCAAAAGTTTTTATGTTCAAGCTTTTTGTTATCTTTTCTTATCTTATTTCACTTTATAGAGCTGCTTTTTCGTCGTTTTCTCGCTACTGTCTGTAAAGAGCAGCTTCGACTCTGTCTCGAAAATATAATTCTTAAGCATTGAATTAATCTGAAAGTCTGTCGGGTCGAATTCGAGATATACTAATTTTTTTTTTTACAAATTCGAGGCTTATTTCTTATTGTTTTTTATGAGCCGCTTTTTCATATCTTTCCCACTAGCGTTTGCAAAGTGCAGCTTCCCCTCTTTTTCTTATTTTATTAAGTATAAAAGAAGGAAGTGATTTTCTTTTATATAGGTGTTGATTTTTTTCAGGAAAAGTCTGAAAATGCTCAAATAACTACAGAAGTGTATCGTAATATTCATGCATTTATGAGTTTGTGAATTGTTGTATATTCACTTTTTGAGTTCAATTCAAGTTTATTGCTTATAGATTGGTTGATTATGAATAGTGAATGTAGTGAGTACTCTTATATAGGTATGGGTGATTTTTTTGGTTTTTTTCTCAGGAAAAAGTCTTTTAAATTTTGTTCACATTTGGCCACGAAAAACGAGATCGACCTGTAATTTGAAAAATGGAAATCAGTTATCAGATTTCCCAGCAAAATAAAGTTTTATCTATTAGTCCAGTTTACTCAAATTGGATTAATTTTGTCAAAAAAGTGTCAACCATAAGTTGGTCTACAATTTCAATGAGCTTTAAGGTCTTTTTTCCCGAAATTCAAAAGTTTTTTTTTTCAGTTACCTTGCGGTCATTACTCTTTTCCAACTGTCAGTTGGCTATGTGTCCATGTTTCGAAAGTAAATTTGGTTTTAAGATTTCTCAGCGGAAAAATTGTTTTCCCAGCGTTTATCCATTGATCCAGTTTTCTTCAATTAGGGTAATTTCGAGAAAGTGCGTTAATAATTGCATTCATATAGATGTGCATTCATACGTAATAATGCTTTTATGAATGTTTTTAGATGAAATGTACTTTTTGAGTTCAATTTATTTTCATCCACTGAAAGTTAGGTAAATTGCACTCTCCAAAAAAGAAGGGGGAAAATGCGCGAAAAAACGTGAACGACTTCTAGTTCGAAAGTGGATTTAAATGCAGATTAATAATGTTACCCATATTTCTCAAATTCAGTTAATTTTTTTTCTGAAAAGTTGCAATCACAAATTCGTATTGAAATTGAGATAGTTAAAACCGTTGTTTTCTACTTTGAATTTTGATAGTTGAAGTTTATTCAGAAATAAGTCAGTTTTTTTCCTTGCTTTTGGACTATCTTTTCAGTGCTCATTTTTGTCAACTTACTCTCTAGTACATTGATTTATTTTATCCCAAACATTATTTTTCTTTAACCACGATTGAGTAGTTCTGTAGTTTACAAACCCGATTTAGTATAATTTCCTCGCTTTCTCTTCTCCCCGCACAAATGTTTTCCGCTTAGTTGCCCTATTTAGCGTCATTTTAAGCGAAATTTTTTTTGTCCGTTTCAAGAGTTCAGGGTTCGAAGCGTTTTGCTGTTTGCACATAATCAGTAACTATCTCTAGTCAGTATTCTTTTTGCCGCTTCGCTCTTTCAAAGCTCCATCCTGGATTAGAACCCTGACGCACTGCTCACCAATCAGCCGAGAGTTTCAAAGCATTATATCTCTAATTTTTCCATGATATGTTCTCGGCTTAATTGGCTTATATGAAAGTCTTGGCTGCATAATTCCCACGGGGTAAACGATTTTGAATTATTATTTAATGCTGGTGAATTTGTGTCTTGGCATGTCACCCAGCTGAACATAGTTTGAGAAAAACGTAGAGCTCTTTTTGTAGATTCGGTTGCATTTGTGCTTTGCCTTATAATTTTACAGATTGCACTTGTAGTTCTAAGATTTGACGGTAGAATAAAGATATCTTTTGATCCTGTTTTGTAGTCTACCTGAAACTGAAATTGTCACTCAAAAAATAATCTTAGAGTTCGAAGAGATTTACTGTGATGTACGTTGCTCAGCGAAAATAGAAAGCTTGAATATATTTATTCGTTTTGTCAAAGATATTTTCTGAAACTAAAATAAAAGTATGTTTTAAAAAAATGAGTCGTTTTTTGTTTCCTTGTTCATTAACACTCGTCTAAAAGTCCGATGGATGAGCGAGCAACTGTCGAATTTAGTTTTGATGAGCAACTGGCGAATTTAGACTTAAAATATACAGAGTTTAGGAGCAAATTGGATTTAAAGTGTTAATTAAAATAATCGTTCCTCAAATTGGGCTGTATTGAGGCATGTGGTTATGTTTTTTTTTTCATTCAATTTCAGGCTCTGGTTCACCTTCCGCCTCCATTTCTTGTTGTTCCTGTGCGAGTAGTTCAGCCTCTTTTTTAAGTTGATTTTGCCGCGAGAGGAATTGTCTAACCTTGAACTTCATTAATTCTGTAGTGTCGTCAAGTTCGACTATTCCGATGAATTCGATGAAATGTCTAAAACATAGATTATCTTACCTCCAAGACAACGGAATGGTAATTTGAACAAGTATGCAGCGACGCAATTAGAAACATTTTTAAATGCCGCATAAATATTACATACACTAAATGAGCTGTAGGTACAGCATGATTACAAACCCTCATTGACACGAAATGTGAGAAGCATTGAGCTTCAACCAAAGATGAAATATGAACTCAATTAGGTTTGATTTTGCATGCATGTTTCCAGTGATGACCATTAAAATTAAGCATAAATGCTTTAAACTCATTTTAAGAAAAATAATTTTTAAAGGCGCTTTTAAATTCCTTCAAATATCTTGAACCACTCAAAAGAAAATCAGTAAAATAAACATTGCAAAGGACTCCAAATGATTTCCATATCCAGTCCGTTTTTGCGTTTTTTCGTCAAAAATTGTTATCTTCGAAAAAGCGCGCTCTGCATTAGTTGGGAAAGGCGTGTAGCTAACTTTTAAGGGCGTCACCTCGTATCAAGGTTTAGGTTTTTCCTCAGAAAATGATTTTGAAAAATCATAATCTACAGAGTCATCATGAAGTCGTAGTGCTTAAGTTCCCCTACAAGTTTTTTTTGAGAATCAAAGGAATGCAGTGGTTTCTCGATAGATTCTTGAATTATTGAATCAATTATACCATCGGACTCAGCAATTCGTTTGAAACAATAAACGTTGAAGTGCCTAGATGCGGAATAAATAATTTTATTGCTAAAATACAATTTCGATTTAAAGATATTGTTGTATTTTTGCAATGATAAGTTTGGTCGGAACATACAATTACAAGGGCTGATTGCAAAGAAAGTCTATAATCTTGCTAATGTTCGAAACATACCAAACTGGAAGAAAATATACAAAAAAATGAAAAGGTGATAATCTCATGCTCACACAATGAATCACTTTGAGTTTCCTTTAATTTACCTGTCGAGGATTTTTTTTGGTTGATTTGTGGTTTTGTTTAGTTTATTTGCGAGCGGCGTACTGGACGACCTGCTCTATGTATTTTCGGTCAGCTTCGTCTCTAGCCTCTTGCAATTTTGTTTCAGAGAACAACTCGCTGTTTAATTTAAACGCAGTTAATACTTTGTAGGTTAGTATCAACCAATATTGTATTAAACTTATTATTAAACTTAAGTTATATATGGTAAGTGTGGTTAAGAACAGAAAAGAAAATGATTTTTGATCTGAAAAAAAAAATTTATATTTTAAATTTAATTTTATATTTTTCGGAGAACCGATAAATCTAGAGGAAATATAAGTTCATCGCTGAACTGTTGAGGCGTACGCGTAGCTATTTAGTGGCTTTCTGAATTTTTATGGATTTGCCCTTCAATTTGTATTTGAGTTTAGATTGTAATATAGAGTAATAAAGTGTAAAAGGGATTACTCACTGGTAGTTTATGAATCCAGACATGTCTCTGTCCATCTGGACTGTGATTGTTGCCATCTCTTCGTCTGTCAACTCCAGACCAGTCTCCTATTAAAGAGGAAATGATTTTTTTTCACGTTTTTTTAAAGTAGCGAAGTAATTTTTTTTCAGTAATTTTTTCACGCTTTTTCAGTTTTTTTACACATGCAAAGCTTGTGTGATATTATGAACACTTTTTTTCCAACCTAAGTCGCAAATATTAGTGTTCATTTTGAAAGTGTTATTTTGATCTATAACCAGGTATTAAGTACAGCCAATGCTAAGGATATTAACACAGACTATTATATTACAAATAGCACTTTAGCTCCAAGGTTTAATAATGGTTCTGTAGCGTAGAGGTAGGGAAGGAGACAAGCAGCAAAATAAGAGGGTTCGAACCTCGGCAGGATTGGATGTTTGTAATGAACTTTTTCGTATACTAGTTAAAATGCGTCCACTTATAAATTGAGGCATATTAGTTGGTAAATTTCTTTTCAAATTGAATGGTACTGCTTATGCGTCAAAATTGGCTTGCCTCACTTAGCAATTGTGTAAACTCATAATTGGCGTGCGTCTATTGAGAAATTTTGTAGACTCAAAATTTTATTCATTTAGTTTTTCCCAGTAGCGTTCTTGGTAATATTTTTGACCGTGTATGCTAAGTGCTTTTTCGCTTCTGCGTTCACAGTTGCGAAGTAGTCCAGTCAACTATCGCTAATATTTGTAGCAGTTCATCGTTCATATTAGCCAATAAAGTGTAATTTCTTTTTTCTTCATCGTATTTACACTAGCGCTAGCTTAGAGTATTATGAAGGACCTTCTTTTTTTCTAAGCTAAGTCGCAAATATTGGTACCACTTTTGGGACACCTTTACAGCTTTTTGATGCATGTGCTTTGACATTTGAATTAAAGTAAGTTAACTCAGTTGATGCATTTTTAATTCATCAAAAGAACCGAAAAAAGCGATTTGTTTCAAACAACATTACTATCATAGAAACTCGATTTAAGAATTTTTCTAATTGGCGTGCGTCTATTGAGAAATTTTGTAGACTCAAAATTTTATTCATTTAGTTTTTCCCAATAGCGTTTTCGGTTATATTTTTGACCGTGTATGCGAAGTGTTTTTTCGCCTCTGCGTTCCCAGTTGCGAAGCAGTCCAGTCAACTATCCCTAATATTTGTAGCAGTTCATCGTTCAAATTAGCCAATAAAGTGTAAGTTCTTTTTTCTTCATCGTATTTACACTAGCGCTAGCTTAGAGTATTATGAAGGACCTTCTTTTTTTCTAACCTAAGTCGCAAATATTGGTACCACTTTTGGGACACCTTTACAGCTTTTTGATGCATGTGCTTTGACATTTGACTTAAAGTAAGTTAACTCAGTTGATGCATTTTTAATTCATCAAAAGAACCGAGAAAAGCTATTTGTTTCAAACAACATAACTATCATAGAAACTCGATTTAAGAATTTTTCTAACTCCTGTCTCGCAATTTTTTGAAATCCATAATTTATGCATAATGTGCCCTTATGCTTTGCGATTTGTTACATGCAAAATTAGTGTGAATGCTTTCAGATTGGTATAGTTCAAATGATTAATTGCAAAATTGTGTCTGTTTGTATTTCGTGCCACTTATGCTGAATCGCATTGGCAGTTTATTAGCATAAGTAGCTGCTTTATTTGTGACAAGTGTTTGTCGGTGGTTAAACGTGCATGGGTGAGTGGTTAGAGTGTGAGACTCCAAATCTCTTGCTTGCAGTAGGTCACAGATCTTGAATCCTAGACCTAGCCGAATTTTTGTTATAGCACAAAATTTTTTAGTTGAATTTCTGGACTGAAAATGAGCTATCAAAAATATTCTGAAGAATATCGGAAATACTTTATATCTCGCCTTTTTTAAATAGATATATGCGGAAGAATTTAATGATCGAAAAGTCGACAGTAAAAGATGGAAAAAATAACCATATTTTCTTTCCTGAAGTAGTGGCTTAAGCTTAAGAGTTGCAAAATTAATTAATACTTTGATTCTGGAATGAAAGTTATTTAAATGGTTTTTATGAAAATTTTATATTCAGTTTTATATACAAGAGAAAGATCGTTTTAATGGAAAGTATCCAGGTCCTTGAAAGGGTGTGCGGTCAAAAAAAAAGAAAACCTATAGTTCATACCGGTCAAAAAGTAGACAAAAACTATATTAACAAATCAGAATTGAGAACTGAAAGCGAACCCAGGAAACATAATTAATATTTATTCATTTCCTAAGTTTGTTTCTTGTTCTCTATTCTGATTGGTTAATATAGTAGGTGTCTACTTTATGACGTGTCTACCATATGACTTGTCTGTCTAATTTTTGCAATGTAACCTTTTGAAAGTATATCTTATATATTAAATATAACTCCGAATGCGCTATGGACGCAATGTTTAACTTAACACAATGCATAAGAATTAGTCGGAGACAATGTTTAAAAGGCTATTGAGTGTAACGTTTGAGAAGCATTCAGAGCAACCATCAGAAGATGAACTCAATCCAACTTCAAGGCTAGACAATACTTGTCCAAATTTTGTCGAAAATTTAATTTCATTTCTGTCTGGAACTGGGACTGTCAATAGTTCAGTCTGGAACGACCCACTTAAAAACAACCTCCATGCTAAGAAAGAAACTTGTTTGCGAAACGATTCGGTCGATGAAATGACTTGAAATAATTCAAAGTTTAATAGCTTAAAATGCTTGCTTAGAAAAACATCAAAATTTTCGCGAATCAAGTTTGTCCACGAAATAATTTGTAATATTTCAAAGTTTCATAGCTTGAATAGCTAGCTCAGAAAAACTGAAACTTTTCGCAATTTTTAAACTTTTCTATCGAGCACAACGTTCAAGAAGGCTTAGATCAGAACATTAAAAAAACCATTCAGAGCAACCATTGAGCTCTATGTTTTAGGCAAGAACTTTCTAGAACTTTGAATCTTTCTTAAGTCAGGATTATTCTTGAATTCTTTCTGAAAACTCCGAAATTCTTTGAAGAAGATGAACTGGACTCATCTTTAGACTAGACAGAACCTGCCCACAGTTTTTCCCAACATTTTGCGTTTAGATAATGATTTTAGTCTGGAAAGAATCAACTGAAAACAGCAAACTCTATGCTTAGAAAACCGCTTTGCGCTATAATTTCACTTTGAAAAGTTTCATAGCTGGACTAGCTTGCTTGAAAACACCTACTCTTTCGCCATTCTTTGCTAAATGAAATTACGTGAAGTATATCGAAGTTTCATAGCTGGACTAGATTACTTAAAAAAAATTAAATTCAAAATTTTAAAAAAAAAATTAAGCTTACTTAAAATTTGCCATTCACGATTCGTTCTTTGTATTATTTCAAAGTTTCATAGCTCGAATAGCTTGCATTGGAAAACTCCAATTTTTCGCAAAACGATTTTTTCTAGTCAAACAACTTAAAAACTAACTATTTGCAAAACGTTTCGGTCTAAGATACACTTCAAATATTTCAATTTTTCATAGCTTCAGTAGCCTGCTTAAGAAAAACTTAGACTTATTGCGATCTAATTCGTTCTTAAAAACAACGTGACGTATTTCAAAGTTTCATAGTCTAAATAGCTTGCTTAAAAACACAATTTTTTTTCGAAAAACGGTTCGATTTGTGAAATAACTTGCAAATTTTAAAGTTTAATAGCTTGAACAGCTTGCATAGGAAATTTACTAATTTCCGCAAAAGGGTTTGGTAAATTAATAAAGTTTCTTGGATTATTTTGAAGTTTATTGCTCAATTAGCTCGCTTAGAAAAATTAGTTATTCGCAAGAAGGTTTTGGTCTAAGAAATCACTTCAATTGAATTTTTTATAGTTCAATAGCTTGCTTATGAAAAACTTGAACTTAATGCGGACTGATTCGATCTATAGGACAACTTGAAATAATTTAAAGTTTCTGTGCTCCGTCAGTTTGCTTAAAAACACAAATTTTTCGCAAAACAATTTGGTCTAAGAACAACTTGAAAATTTTCAAATGTTCATAGCTTCAATAGGTTGTTTTTGTAAAATTAAAATTTTTTCTGAATTGATTCGCTCTATGGAACAACTTGAAATATTTCAGAGTTTCTTCAATCCATCAGCTTGCTTAAAAACAGAACTTTTTCGCGAAAGATTTCGGTACAGAGACGACTTGAAAATTTTCTAATTTTCATAGCTTCAATAGCTGTCGTAAAATTTGAAAGTTTCCTGAACTGATTCGCTCTATGGGACAAATCAAAATATTTCGAACTTCCAGTATTTAAGTAGTTTGCATAGGAAAAGCTCATTTTTCCGCAAAAGGGTTCGCTCTAAGAAATCATCCCTTGAATAGGTTTAATAGAAACATTTTTAGTCAACCGATTCACGCCATGAAATAACTTGAAATTTTCAACGTTTTATATCTTGAATAGCTTGCTTAAACCAAGTTTGATTATTTGCGGATTGATTCGCTCTATAAAATTGCTTTGAAATGTTTTAAAATTTTTGCAAAATAACTTGCATAGAAAAACGGACTTCCTGCGGACCAGTTCAATCTAGGAAATAAGTTGAATTATTTCAAAGTTTTACCGCTTGAATGCCTGAATGCCTTCAAAAAAGTTTTACATTTTTTTTGTCATCCGGTTCGCTTCGTTTTAAATGATCATAGCTCGAATAGCTTGCTTATAAAAGTTCGAATTTCTGCGAAACGATTTGGTCTAAGAAATAATTTTAAATGTTTGAGTTTGTTCGGTTGAATGACTCCATGAAAAATTCTTAAGTTTTTGCTATTCATTTGGGGTCCAAAAAATAACTTCAACTATTTCAAAGTTTGATAGCTGGAACAGCTTGCTCAAGAAAACTTGAATTTTTTGTTAACCGAATCGTTCTTAAAATACTTTTTTAACTTCACAATTTCTTCGGTGGAATGGCTCGATTTTCAAACCGATTTACTTGGCTTAACTTGAAGTTGTTCGATGCTTCATTGCTTGAATTGCTTGGTCAGAACAACAACTAATTTTTTGCGAGCCGATTGATTATTGTAGTAGGGCTTGCTAGTGCAGTGTAAGATAAGGGACCATTTGTGTACCTGAATAGTGGATCTGAAGTCGTCTTTGCTGATGGTGAAAGTTCCCTCCTTGTCCACCTGTTGGAACAACTCCAGCAGGTTTATATTTTTCTCATGGCAGAACTTCTTCACCTGAAATAGCACACCTTGTCACAGCACACTCAAAGACAGAAGATAAAATAAAATAAGTTTTTTTTTTGAAACTGAAATAGTCTAGCTGTTCGCTGAAAGACTAAAATATGAATAAAGTAAATGCCGTCAAACATATTTTGTTAAGTCGATCAGCCAGGCGCTTAATACTGGACAGCCCTAATGCCTATCTTCGATTATAGTCTGGAGAGTCATTGAAATTGTTCGAAAAAGAACAGCCTGATTTTTCATTACTTCCGTTGATTGGAGGATAAAACAAAGCACGTAAAGTTTTTTAAGTGTCATTGACCGAAGGTAATGTCTTGTTGTGTTTCCCGGAAAAAGTTTGTGTCTTTTTTGCTCTCAGCTTTTACTTTTTTAAAGTGATTTGGACTTAATTTGTTCATGAAATTCAAAAAACTGCAAGGCCATTTTTTTTTTCGTTTTTTTTCCTGGTTTACCTGAGTTCATTGACACTTTTCCAACTATCTGTTGGTTATGTTGTGATAATTCAGAACATGTTTTATAAAAAATACGCTAATTACTTTAACGCAGGGGTGATCTAGTTTGGCGGGTACTTTCTTCTTCCGTTGCTCCTCGTGGCCTGCAGGGAACACCTGTATGTTGGGATGAATCTCGTGGAGTTTAGCCAGCTGCTCGTCAAAGTCCTTATTCACAATTATGTCCTGAAATCAAGGTTTTTATTACGACCATCCGACTATGGCGTAGGGTCTCTTTTTAAGCCAATTTTGGTCTGAATTGCTTCGTTTCTTTTCTAGGCTAATGAGACTGAGTTATTTATTAGAGGCTGGTCTTCAAATTTAATTCGACTACAATTTTTTGATATTTTGGCTGTTAACGCCACTCAATCCTTTTGTTCACCTACTTTAATCGCCCTTTCCAGAAAAAAAGAGCATAAATATTTGGACAAAGAATGTTTGAAAGTAGAATAAGAATATTTACTACGTTCATAACAAAAAAGTAATGAACGTAATGAGTACTATTATATAGGTCATGGTGATTTTTTTTTGCTTTTGTTTCGAGAAAAAGTCTTAAAATTTTTTCACGCTCAATTTTGATTTTTCGCGGTATGACTTTTGATTTAGTTTACATCATTCTTCTTGTTAAAAGGAAGGCAAAATCCACTATCGAATAGCAAAAGTGAAAAGATCCCGAAAAACGTGATCGACTTCTAAATTCGAAAATGGAAATTATTTATCAGATTTTCCAGCGATATAAAAGTTATACAGAAATTTTTTCCGAAATTCAAAAGTTCAAGGTTTTTCAAAAAAGTCCGTTTTTTTTCAGTTTCCTTGCGTTCATTACTCTTTTTCAACTGCCAGTTGGCCATGTGTTTTTATCTTTTTTTTGTATTTTTTTAAATAAAAAATATCATGGTAGTAGTCAGAGCATTCTTTATTTGCACAGCAACTAGATATCCTTTTACTTTCAAATTACTTTCAAAAATTGAAAGCATATTTCGAAATAAATATTTAAAAATCTTCCTTGATTACTATAGCTCATGTATGCTTGTTAACTAGTATTTGTTTGGAGAAATATTAAGATTTAAATTTAAAAACTAGAAGTTGACTCACGTCGAAATATATCTCTTGTAGTTTTGAGTTGGGATTCAACATGACCTGTGTAATGACCCCGTAGCACCCCGCACTCTCCATTGGATTTGTGCCCATCTAAATGAATAGAAAAAAAACATGAACTCGTTATTTATTCGCATTTTGAAGAATAGCCATATGTCACATCGCAATAGCAAGCCTGAATAAATTTTAGATTTTTTCTGTCAGCAAGCATGAATGATCATTAAGTTACAGAAAGAAAAAAGAAAGAATTTATTTCTCCAACATAAATACACATTCAATCAGAGCATCAGAATCTGAGACGCGAAGAGGATAGACAACAAGATCATAGGATCCACTAAGCCTCTGCGCCTAACGGCTGTATTTGTTAGATATAAACTCAACAAGTAAATTGAATGAACAGAAAATGTTTTTCACAACTTGGCGCAAAACTGGTGTCCACATTTATGTGCCGCTTGCTCCTACACTGCTCTTTTTTATGAGATCATATAATTCGATTTATTTTCTCGCTAAATTTTTCAAATTTTTTATTGAGAAACTCACGAAAAATTTCTGAAAACTGTGATTTTTCGAATATCAAATGAATTTAGAAGTTGATTTTATTTCAGCATAATCTTAACCCTCGGTGGTTGTCCAGCGTCAATTATCCAAATTTCCATATGGGTGTAAATTCTCACAAACTTTTTTTTCTTGCTCATAAATGTATCTAACCAGTTTCCAATTTTGAATTAAATAGGAATTTTTGAAATTATATTTAAAACGCGATATTTTCTATAAAGAACTTCTTTTTCTATTTCTACAGCCAGAAAATTTAGCTTTCAAATTGTTGTACAATTTGCAAGCTCAATAGCGTATCGATGATCTTTCAATTTTCCGTTTGCCAGAAGGTTCCGAGAGTAACTTAGCACCAGCACATCTCGTGAGTTTCTTAGAAATTTGAAAAGTAAGCATTTCCTTCAAAAACACTCACAATGCAGTTTGTTTGCAGATTTGAGAGCAATATTCAAAAGTTCGTAGATATGATACTCATATACAGCCAGTGGTCTTTCCATTTTCTAAAAAAAATCTTTAATATTTTCTTTCGCAAAATGAAAATAAGATTCAAAACAGTGAAACTGCAACCTACGTAAATAAGAATTCCATACCGAAAAATAGGAATAACATTGATTCGGGAGTTGTCTAATAGCTGGAATCTTTGTACATATTGCCTTAATTTCGCAATTGTTTTACATTGTTTTCCGATTCTCATTTTAACAAAGTCAAGTTGACTAACAAATGAAAACTTGCAATGAATTTGTAAGCCTTAATATTGACACAGCGACTTAAAACTCATATCGCAAAATAGTTTTGGTTTTTGCAATTGTCAAGTTTTGGCTGAAACCTGACAAAATGTCAGTTTTTAGTTCAAGTTCTCTGATACTCTTCGAAGAACTGATAACCTCACTTAATTTCGAAAACAACTGGAATGTCAGCTTTTCAATGAATATTATTACAACTAGCTGTATAGCTTAAACACTCTTGAGTAAAAGGCAGAGTATATAAAAGAACATAAATGATGTTAATGATGATGAAGTTATAGATAATTCAGAAACATGCTTGTGAATTAGACTTACTCTGAGAACCAGAAGTGTCTCGTTGACAGCCAGTCCCTTGGCGAAGTTAATTGCTGCCTCTGTGTTCATTCGAGTATTGGAGATATCCAGCTCCTTCAAGATATCTGTTGTTTTGATCGCATCTGCAAGTGCAAGTGCTCCTTCGTTCTCAATTCCATTCCAGGATAGATTGCATTTTGTCATTGAGTAGGCTTGCTAAACAGTTGACATCTGAGATAGGAAGGAGTGATTTTTTTGATTGAAGGAATCGAAATGAGAAGAAATAGTCATTATAGTGCGAATATACGGTTTTAAATTGACATTTTTCAAGTCGATCAAATTGATTTTCGAACACAATAAAGACCCGAGTATGCCAAAAATTGACTCAACTTGAGATTTTTGAATTCGTCTTTAAAGTCTATAAGGCCGTGTTTGACGGTGAAGTCGATTTGATGTCTATTTTGAGAAGTGATCGATTTTTAAAACAGTTGAAGCAAAAATTAAGACTATTCATGCAGGCAACAATCATGGAACGTGGTGGGTCTCGAACCACCGACCTTCTAACTTAAGGCGGTGACCTTAGCCATTTCACCAATGCTCCTTGATGATTCGAACTCATTACCTTGATTCCCTTGGCTAGGGTGACTATTCCTTTGGGTCTGAAATTGTTCCAACTGATATCGAGAGAGCGGAGAGACATGGACTCGCTGATACCCTTGCTAAGTGCCTCGGCAGACTTGTCCCCCAGTTTGTTGTGACTCAAGTCCAACACCTCCACTTTCTGCATCTTCTGAAAGAAAAAGTGACATGTTGTGTTGAGGTGTTGAGATCGCGTTAACTACCCCCCCCCCCCCCCCCCCCCCCCCAACCAAATTTTGTATCTACATCTACTGACGAATATCTCCGTCTTGTAGTAGTAGGAAATGGTTAAAGAGTTACAGGTTTTGCTGCTGTAGTTGCCGATCTAGTATCTACGTCTATCTTAACTGTTACACGTTCACATTTTCTGACAATTAACATAGAGCTGGGAAGTAGCTATGGTCAAGGATGGTTTTTTCACAGTTTCAGGATACCAAAGGAGTCTCGTTGAAGTTAAAATCACTATTGGCACTTAAATACGGTAAGTACTAAATTCGTTGTTTTATTTCAGGTTGTGGTGTATAAGCCCAAGTATAAACCACCTAAAATATGAACACTGAGACGCATTTAGATAAAAATTACAGTTATGCAGTTACAGTCGAAAAAATTGTGCAATTTTTCGACTTGAATATGAATAGTTTATTTAGGAGAGTAATATTATACAGACAGGTAAACAATAACCGCATGTACAAATCAAACTCACCAAGGATCATGCAAAAAGCTATGCAGCTTATCGAGGCATGACCCTGAAAAAACCTATGACAGAAGTTGCGAGATAATATCCGTCTTGATGATTTAAAAAAACAAATCTAGAAGATCTCCATTATCTTTAAGAAACAATGAAAACAATTTTTTGAAATACCCATTTAGTTGATGCTCAGTTAACTGGTTTAGTTTATCTGGTATCAGCTCGTTTGATTTCAAAAAATTATAACATTTAAGAGACAAATTTTTCCATGAACGCTGCGTTATTTGTGTTCTAGTTTTCATGCTTGGTAAAGTTTTTGCCGAGGCCCGAGTAACCCGACGATTTATTTAGAGATTCCAAATTAAAAGTTTCATGGGGAGTTTTTCCACGAAGTTGATTAAAAGTTTCTTTGAATATTTGCCTGAAATATAAGTCAAAAACGGTGTCAATCTCAAACGAATGTAGGATATATGAGGCATGCTCAAATTTTCTCTTGAAACAAATAGTTTTAAAAATACGTTTTTGCATCACAAATATTTTTTCTAATAGGCTTTTTGATGTTGCACCAAATGCAATCAAACCGTAGGAAATGAGTGGCTTTGCATAGCAGTTATAAAATTTAACCAGCACATTTTTCGAGAAATAGTTTCTACCCTTGAATAGTAAACCGTTAAATTTAGCTAATTTACTACAAACAAAATTAATATGACTTTCAAATTTGAGTCTGTTGTCCATTTGAATTCCTAAATACCTAAAATCAGAAACCTCGGCGAGTACATTATTACCAAAAGAAAATATTTCATTTAAGTTATCTCGTCCAAATTTCATTATTTTGCACTTTTTTTGATTTATGAGCAGTTTGTTATTATTGCACCAATTACATATTTTATTTAATTCTGTCTGGAGTTTCGTTTTGGATGCAAATTTTTGAGCATCAACTACCGTTGTATTATCTTCAAATAATGTTAGTTTAACGTTGCTGGCCGACGGCATATCATTTATGTATAAAAGGAACAGAAATGGCCCCAAAACTGAACCTTGAGGAACACCTTTTGTACATTCTCGCATATTTGAGACCAATTGATTTGAATAAACATATTGCTTTCTCCCTGACTTCGTTTATGGTTTCAATATAACTTCGACTGGTTTATTCACACGCGACACGCATCAACTGTAGCTTGCCTCTATGGCGTCCCCGATGATGAGTGCCATGCTGTCGTCCAACTCGCACCCGGAGAGACAGACTGTGGTGAGGCTGGGGTTGCTCCTCATGATCTCACTCACAGCTGTCATGCCCGCTTCCCCTATCGCATTGTCCGCCAGAGACTGAAACATAGTCTTGTTTTTTTTTAGAACTGGAACATCGAAGTTTTTTTCTCCAATTCTTAGTATTTTTTGTTACGACCCTAGCGCATTTTCCGCCAACCACTGAAATATAATAATTATTTAATGTAATATAATTTATTAAACCAATTATGAACGTTTTTCTACAATTTTGTGTTTTTTTGTTACGACCACTTTTGAAGTATTTGAAAAAAAAACTATTTTTATCGTGTTCTTTTTTCCTTAAACAGTTTCATGTATTTCACCCCGCGATTATGAATGGATTTCACAAAGCCGGTGAATTTGAGCTATAATTTTTGTTTTGCACTTTTCTTTGAAGCAGACATTAGAAGGTAGGAACTGAGACTGACCAATTCAGCAATGTAGAAGTTCTCTTTCAGCATCTCTGCAATGGCGAGGGCGCCTCCCTCTTCAATGTTGTTGTCACTCAAGTCCAGCTTCACCACACTCGTGTTCGTCTAAATACTCGCCAATTTTTCCTCTTTACCGCCATGGAATCTAATGTTATTTTACCGCTCTCGTCCGCAACATCAAAATTTCTCCGACTGTTTTTTATTTTTTCCGTAAACAGCAATCTATCTGAAGTGTCAACTTTTCAAAATACTTTTTTTAAATACGAGGACTCAGTAATAAAAAAAGGGTTATTTATTGATAGAATTTGCTAATAAATTAATAATGAAGTAAAGGTTGCAAGTTTGATAGTTGGATACCTAAAAATATTGAAAGTTACCTTGAGACAAAGTTAAGTAACCTAGAGTCTACGGAAATAGGTTTTGGAATTTTTTTCAATTTTCATTGAGATGTGTATTTAAATGGCGGGACCCATATTTCATACTTGCTTTTTCTAGGGGTGACCAGCTAGCATTTTCTAGTGGGTCCCAACAATTATTTTCTTGGTACCAACTATCATTTTCTAGGGGGTCACAACTATCATTTTCTAGGTACCCAACTATCATTTTCTTGTGGGTACCCCTACTAACTATCATTTTCTAGGTACCCAACTATCATTTTCTAGGGGGTTCCAACTATCATTTTCTAGGGGGTTCCAACTATCATTTTCTAGGTACCCAAATATAATTTTCTAGGGGGTTCCAACTATCATTTTCTAGGGGGTTCCAACAATCATTTTCTAGGTACCCAAATATCATTTTCTAGGGGGCCCACTATCATTTTCTAGGTACCCAACTATCAGTTTCTAAAGGGGCCCAACAAACTTGCATCAAGTAGTAATGCTCACCACCAGTGCGACTGCAATAGCCTGTGCCCCCTTGGCCCCCAGTCCATGGTGGCGCATGATCAGATTCTCTTTGCGCATGTTCCTCTGGAAGTAAGAGGCAGGCACCACATTGTACCTCTTGCACGCCTCCACGTAGATCTCCTCCCAGTTGCGGTCGAAAGATTCTTTGCTCTCTGAAAATTGACAAGTCAGCATATTCTGGGTGGTTAAATTATTTTTTTTGATATTGACAATCGCTGGAAGTTGCAGTCTGGTACGGGCATTTTAAACTATTCGCCGAGTTCACGACACTTTTTGTTTTAATTTTTGAAAATATGGTCTATTTTATTGTTGTCTCAGATCCAGAATTTTTTTCAGATCCAAAACTTTCTGTAATTTTTTTCTTCGCTGAACAGAATGCAGAAATTTAATAGTGTTTGAATGATTATGTTGCGACCATCTGCGCTCGCTTAATCAAATCTTAAATCTACTGTTTTCTGCAAACTTTTATATTATTTCAGGTTCTGAAGCCAAAAAAAACAGATATAGATATCGGAACATAACATTTGCACAAACTGACCTTCAATTTCAAGGTCAGTGTCGTATTCCTTGTCGGGATCAAACACTGCTTCCTCTTCTCTAGTCGTGTCACGTGCCCCACTGTAAGACCTATCCCCCTCCCCCATTCCCTCTCCGCCCTCATACTCCCCCTCTTCATTATACCCCTCCCCACGTTCAGTGTGGTCTCCGGCATTTTGATCTCCCCCTTCAGTGGGGTCACTTTGTTTGCTCTTCTGACTTCCTCGTGAGAGACTGATTCGCTCTTGGCCACTAGAGGTGGGTCTGCTCACATTCTAGAATGCAAAAAAGAAGTGCAAATAACTTTGAAATTTTTTCTTTGAACGTAAGGTTTTGTAACAAAATTTTTAAAATAGTTGTTTTGTGTTTTGATTTTTTCTTAAAAACGAGAAGCAATTAATTCAGACTTTTTTCTTGAAGTATCCGAAAGTATGATTTTAACTGATTCAAAAAATCCTTAGCAGAATTTGTCGAATGAGCTTTTTACACGAGCCAGCTTGCGAGCATTGTGTTATGTTACGAAATAGATTTTTCCAAACCAACTGTCGAATAAAAGTGCTTTGGAGGCACGCCGCATAGTTTTGACAGTTTGAAAACACGTGTTCTTCAATTTATTAGTGGCTAGTGTTTCTTTGAGAGCGTCAGTTTCTCGTATATGGAATTTATTTTTCAAAATTAATACAGTGCTGATTTAAATTAACCGGACAAAACGCGTTAAACTCGAAATTTAAAACACGTTTTTCTCAAATTGGGTTGAGTTAAGGTGAAAAATTATGAAGACAAAACTTGCTTAAAATTTTAGCAGAATTAATATGGTGTAATTTGTTTTGCGAAATTCGGGTCTAAAATTTTACCCCAAAAATGGGTCATTTTGGCTTTTCTTAGTTAATCAGAAATTACGCCAAAAATAACAAGTCGATCACAGATATAATTATATCAAAGTGAGCCCCTTACGTAGCCCAACAATCTTTAAGAAGGGTATATTCTCCAAAAAAAATTGCAAATTGTTTAAAAATTGTTTTTAAATAAAAAGTTGGTATTTTATATAGTAAAAGCGAATTTTTTTGTCTATCAAACAAAAATAAATTAACTTAAACAACGTTTTGGAGAAAATACTCTTCTTAAAGTTTGTTGGGCTACGTAAGGGGCTCACTTTGATATAATTGTATCTGTGATCGACTTGTTATTTTTGGCGTAATTTCTGATTAACTAAGAAAAGCCAAAATGACCCATTTTTGGGGTAAAATTTTAGACCCGAATTTCGCAAAACAAATTACACCATATTAATTCTGCTAAAATATTAAGCAAGTTTTTTATTTATAAGTTTTCACCTAAACTCCACCCAATTTGAGAAAAACGAGTTTTAAATTTCAAGTTTAATGCGTTTTGTCCGGTTAATTTAAATCAGCACTGTGCTTGCTTTTGCGAAATGCAGCTTCGCTTCTGAGCATCAACTTTACTTGTTTTAGAGAGTTCATTTATTGTTGTTTTTCTTGAAAAACTGTAAATTGTATGAAAAATAGGAAGTAAGTATGGCGAGTTTTTTTCTTTTAGTCAAGTTTGATATATTTTAGGCTCTTTTCCAGTTTCCCACCCCCCTCGTAAAATTAAAAATATAGCTGTTTCATAAATTGTTCACGCTGACACGTTTTAATGGAGTTTATGACATCAAAAGTCATTTTAAATCGATTTTCATGTAGCGGATTTCAGAAAAAATCAAAGGGGGGGGAACTGGAAAAGAGCCATATTTTATTATACAGAATAGTGCTAAACTCAGCTTCGCCTGTTTAAATTTTGAAAATTGGAAATCGAATGTGAGAAAAGTGAAAAAGCCAAAATAGCGTAGTCAGAGTTCAAAGATATCGTCAGCTTCAGCTAGGTTGAGAATGATTTTTTATCTTTAACAATCTAGCAACATCAGGGGTGTAAAATATCTCATCTAGTTATTGTTTTTAGGTAGATATAGCGATTACTCCAAAACTTAAAAAGATTATCTAGATAATCTTGATAATCTTAAATAATCTTTAAAAAAAAATTATTAGCTGCTCTAAACTTGAAAAAAAAATCAATGATTTTTATTGATGATATCATTAATCATAAAGACACCCCAAAAGTCATGATTGGTTCTCAAAAACTTCTGAGATTCCAGATGTACCGGCAAAATATTTTTGCGATTATCACCGTACACGTTTTCCGCGAAGCTGAATAGTCGTTCAACAATGTCACTTAAACTCGCTACCCACTCTAAACTAGGTCGAGTTTTGCTACATGTAGACACTGAATTCAGTGCTGGTTCTGCATATGTTGCCCTCCTCAGTTGCTTTTTTTTCTATATCTTCCGTGAGTTGGAACCCTGTTGGCGCCATTTCTGTGCCGGCGAAATTAAAAGATACCAGTCTAGACAAGTAAGCGGTTATAAGATTGGCGAATTCAAAACATAAGTAGTTTGATTGTTTCGAGTGTTTACCACTAAAACGGATGTGAATATGAGTACCGGAAATCAAGTCAAAGCATGTAAAAAAAAGTAAATTATCCTCTGCAATTATCTTGTTGAATAAGATTTATGTATTGATGCTTGCTTGAGCTTGGAAAAGATATCAATGAAGATACAAAATTCGACTATTATCTTTTTATCGAAATGTTTTTTGCACCCCTGAGCGTCATTCCTTGAATCCATAGCATTTTTTGAATCTTGTTAACTATTCCCCCCCCCTATGCATGTATTATTTTTGACAACCATTTCTGTATAAAATGTGCATTTCAAACATGTCAACAATTAAGTGGGTTTTCATTTTCGCGCGTACGTATTTGCATTACTCACAATTTATCTAATACCCATGTAAAAATTTTTTACTATTTATATTTTCTGAAATTTGTTTTAAGCTATTGAAAATGTGGCCGCCAAAGTTGGTTTTCTGAAAATCAAAATAAGGGGGGGGGGAAATAGTTAACAAGATCTCATTTTTTTGTTTGACTGCTTTCCAAGTTTCTTTCTTTAGATGTTTTCTGAAATTTGATTTATAAAAACCTATTTAAAATTACTTTGATGTTTTTATTTCAAATTAAACGTTTCAGCGTTGACAAATGAACAAAATTTAAATTTCTCACGTGCAAGTTGGCATATGCACAATTTAAAAAGAATTATGCATAATTTTAAATACTTTGTGTGATTTTACAAGGGGGTGGGAAACGTTTGTTCAAATGAAAACTAACCTTGCGTGTTTGTACTTTATCAGTGACACTTGGTGTCCTCTTAGGGGGTCCCTGAGAGTCCGATTTGTCCCTAGATACCAAGTCTGTACTCTCCCCCATCTCTGGATATTTCACCACTGGTTCTTTATTACTTATCAATAATATTAACGGTTAAACTAGAAGCGAGTATTAAATACAGAACATCAGTGGTTTGTGTGTAATTACACCTGAAGCAGCTATTCAAAATATAATGCTGGTTTTATTGTTTAATAAAGAGTTTTTACTTATAGTAGAGATAGAAGCTTGTAATTTGCAAAGCAGTTTTTATTTATAGTATACCAGAAAAAACTGGTTTTAGTTTTGAGCTAAATCATTTGCTGCTTGTATTCAATCATTCTACAATGTTTGATAAAAAAAATGTCTATCTTTTTGGTGGATTTTAATTCCATAATTTGACACGTGCGTTTTACCTTTTGTGTACATATATTCGACTGGTTTACATTTATGCCAGCATCATTTTCTGCGTGCGTAGCAAGACATTGTAAAAATAGTGTTACACTACATATTCAAAAATTGTACTTGTTGACTTAAAAATTCAACCAATTATTTCCTAGTTAAATTGTTTTCAAATTTTTCTGATTTCAAATCAAAACTGTGCCAAAATGAGGTTAAACGGACTGATTCCTGCTCGATTTCTAGTCCTAGTTGCCCATTTAACCATCCTAGCGACCATGCTCTGGGCACGTGACCCTACAATCAAAGCCTGCTTACCTCTCTCCTATTCCGACAGCGAATACGACGATAAAGACGTAGAGTTCATTGTCGGATTGAGTTTAGCCCTCGGATTTGGAGTCCTCGAACTGTTGTCATTCATGTTCGGACTGTCGATGTTCGTGCAGAGTCAGAATCTGATCTCGACCGGGGCTCATTTTGCGGCTTCAGTCGCGCTGGTTTACTACCTAATCGACGCTTATGCATGTGCGGAGTTCTGGTACATTTTTGGATTCTGCAGTGCTTTCCCTTTCGTGCTTGAGATATTTGTAGATATAGCTTCTGTGAAGTTCAACCGAAGACTGTAATATTAGTTTATGCATAGTTTTCTAAAGTTCTCGATTTGTAATTTTCTTTCTCTCCTCTTCAGTTCGTAATTTTGATTAACTTGATTTTTTGTAAAGCTTTCGTTCTAATATTAGGTTAAGCTTTCAATACATATTTGCAAGTGTAGTGTTATACTGTTAGTCCATTTTTCTAATGCTTATAACACTTGTTAGATCCGAGGTAATTGAAATTGGTGGTATACTTTATGAAACTATCGATGCATTGAGCTCACTTATAAAAGGTATTTAACCTGCGATCATTTATCCTAATCTTTTGGCAGTTTGGCAAGTCGATATAATAATGTCGTGTCTTTGCTCTTATCCATAATGCTCAACTTTTAAGCTCGAAATATTTGACTTATTCCAATTTTTTTGCGTACAAATAATACCTCAAATTGAATTGAGACGACAACAATTGACATAATTGGTCCTAATGATCCCCCGCTAGAGGCAAGCTATATATTTTCAGCACTTAGCCACTGAGCTCCTAGCCACCCCCCCATTTGAATTTCAGTTTTGAAAAACTTTTTTAAGCTTGTCATAACGTAATGAAATTTTGCATGATGAACAATTTAACAATTGTGAGCAGATTTTTTCTTCATACCTTACATCGTAGCTTTTAAAAATTTTTAGAAACATTTTCTCCATGTCGAGAGAAACCCGTTAAAATTTTTTGGTCTAATTTTGAGCGAATAAGGTGAGCGAGCAGGCTTAAAATAGCTTCTCTATGCTTAGTTTAAGCTGTGAAAACTTTTACTCGAGTAAAATTAGTTTTTTTAGTTTGTTTACGCCATTCCGGGAATGGAAACTTTTCAGATTTTTTGCTGAAATGTTTTGAAATTCGAAAAAATTTTTGAAAAATTTGATTCCCGGAATGGTTTATTTTTCTTCAAAAACTGTTCTCTAATTTATCTACTTTATTATGACTGTCAAAGGCTCTTTTCTACTTTCTCCCGTTTTTGAATTTGAAGTCTTAAAAACTTATTTAAGGTTGTCATAATGCAAACAAATTGCATAGTGAACACACCCACAATTGTGAACAGATTTGGTCTTCATACATTACATTGTAATATCACGCATTTAGCCGTTTTAACACCTAAAACGACCTCGAAAATTAAAAAAATTATAAATGTGTGGGGATATGGAAAAGACTATGCCTAGGTGCTAGAGAAAATCTTCTTTGTTTTTTTGAAAATCTGGGTGAAACATCCTGTGCTACTTGCACAGTAACCAGCTATCCTTGTTCCAAGTGACAATGATATCACATGGATGTTCGCGGTTTCACTCAGTTTTTAAAAGTGTTAAATTTATATCTATTTGCTAAAAAGAGCAAATTGCGCAGTGCAAATGGCGCGAAAATTATGAATGACTTAAGTTTCATTTGTTAAGATTTTCTCAGCGTAATAGAAAATACCATTATTGACCCGTTTTCTCTAATTGGGTTGCTGAAAAAAATGCCGGTCGTTTTTTTATTTCGGAAGTTGAAAACTAAAAAAAAATATAATTTTTTTCAGGTTTCCTTGTTCATTAACACTATTTATAATATGTATTCCGGGGGTTAATTGTTTTTTTTTTGGAAGTATATTAAGCTCCTAGTCAGTGTACTAGTTGAGAAAAGCCAGTTCAAATAATGGAAAAACTTAGTGATAAAACCGAGAACTGATCATATTTTGTCCCGAAATATCTACTTAATTTTCAGATTACCAAAATGGAAAACAGTTTCTCGTCTCAATTGTCAAATAACAGCGGTGTGAACAATTCCAATGAAATGAATATATCTTCATCTAATATGCCTCTTGTTGAAGAATCTTCGAATAGTGAAGTGACCCAAAGCGAAGCGCAGCAGAACACACAGCCACTGATTGATTTCGCCATGCAACTGGACAATGCCAACAGTGTAATACCAGACGCGATTGCATTGTATTATCTACGCAAAGCAGGTTTGCTTGTGTTTTTTTCCGGCTTTCATACCCCAGTTGAACAATCCTAAGTTATTTGCAGAACCGACAACCACCTACTGAACTCTTTCTTTAAACTAAAATTAATGGCACTTGAAAAGTTATTCTTTGAATGTTGGATTTTTGAAGCAAGTTATGTTCGTTATTAAAACTATTTTATGAAATGATTATTTTTTTATAATTTGATTCTACTGCTAATTCGGTTGCTAATGCTAGTTTAACTACATGGAACATTTTATAACTGAAAATTAGTAGAACCAAATTATATAAAAAATGATCATTACATAAATTAGTTGTAATAACGAACATAACTTGCTTCAAAAAATCCATTTAGTTAAACTAGCATTAGCAACAGAATTTGCTGTGTTTTCTTAAGTACACTTGCGAAGCGAGTGTATTAGTACGAACCTTCTTTTTTTTCCAACCTAAGTCGCAAATATTGGTGCCACTTTTGGGGCTCGTTTACAGCTTTTTGATAGCATGTGCTTTGTCATTCGAATACTAATAAATTAACGCAGTTGATGCATTTTTATTTCATCAAATGAACCGAAAAAAGTGATTTGTTTCAAACAACATAACATGAAAACTCGATTTCAGATATTTTCTAACTCAATATATCTAGCAGTTTTTTTAAATGCTTATTTTATAGATAATGCGGCTTCATGCTTTGCGATTTGTTACATGCAAAGTTAGTGAGGATGCCTTCAGTTTGTTTTAATCCAAATTTTTACTTGGAATTGAGTCTATTTGTATTTGGTGCCATTTTGCTGAATCGCATTGGCAATTTATTAGCTTCGAGGCCTCCTTTTTTTTTCTTTTTTCAATTGTTAAAGCGCAGCTTCGCCTCTGCGTCTAATTATCAACTCTCATTAGCTATTGAATTCTTCATCTATGATTGTTTTTCGTTCAAAATTGAATGATTTCCTGTGTATTTCATTATGTGCGCTTCAGGTTTCCACAGCGAAGATGCCCGACTGGTCAAATTAGTATCTCTAGCAGCTCAGAAGTTCATCTCAGATATAGCAACAGATGCCTTAAACTATAGCAAAATGAGAAGTGGTGGCAGTTCAAATGCAGCCGCGAGACAACAGACCAATGAGCTGACTTTGACAATGGACGATTTGAATAACGCTTTAGCCGAGTATGGAATTGTGCTGCAGAAACCTCCCTATTATCATTAGCTTAAATTGAACTTAAACTGATTTTTTTTCTGTTTCTGATGTAGTTTAAATCCTTAAGTCGTAATTAAATTTTTCTTTCTCCGCAATTCAATTAAAAAGTGAGGCAAATAGTGTAGAGGTACATTTTAGTAATATGTCTCACTCAACTTAAATAAGTCAACTTTGGTATCAAAAATAGTATTGTGGGTTCATTTATGCTCGTTCACTCATGCATTGTTGGTTAATTTGACATAAAAATGTACCAATACTTGTAGGAATATATTGCCCGATTTTTGGGTCTTCTGAAAGACTGAAACATCGAAGCTGGAGTTTGCTAGCTACCTTTTGGGCTTACTTCCAAAAAATTGAAATTATTTAGCTATTTTGCTTGCTTTTCTCAAAATGATTTTTATTTCATTGGAGAAAAACAAGAATTCATTTCTCCAATTAAGCTTCCAATAAGCTTACTTAGGATCAAATAATAAGACATGGAGAGGACAGACAACGGGATCCTATGCTCCACCAAGATTATGTCCTAATATTTCATTAATAAATCATTTAAAAATCAAGAAACGAAAACTTGGGTTCTTTTCTTGAACAAATCAACCATAACTTCTAAAACAAGCGAGGAGGCACTAAGAGTTACCAGTATCTATTACGCTACAAATTAGTGAAATAAAAATAGAATGATGAAGAACATTTTTACTAAAATAAACGTGTGAGTTTTTGAGACTTCAGATTAGTTGTAATAGGATCTAATTGACTCAAAAGCTTCGTGCACGTTTACCGATTAGATTTGCCAGATAATTATTTTTTCGAGAGCAAGCGTCCTCTAATCGGGAATTAGACTTTTCCCGTAATTAACTTTATCTTACACATTTGTAAGGAAATCGATGTTGCTTTATTGCCGAACCTCAGCTATTTGGAGAGACCTTCGCGATTAGTCGTAGATAATGCATTAGCCTTTCCCTCTTATGGTCTGGGATTCGAATCCCAGCCTGACATAGTTTTTTTTCAGTGTAATAAATTGATTTTTTTTCTGGAAAAATTGATTAGTCTGACTATTGTTTGTCGACTTATGTTTAGGCTGCTTATTTTCCACCACTGATTTTTTTTGCGCTGTAAGCATTTTGCATGGTAATTTCAATTTGGTTGCTCGAATTTTTTTATGGCAATTTCCTGTCGCATTTTTTATTACAATTTTCTCGCTCAAACTTTTTATAGCAATTTTCTGTGGCCTTTTTCGTTTACGGATTAATGGGCGTAAAGCCACATTTTGTTGGGTTATTGAACGTTCGGAAGATGCTAAAAGCGTGTTTTAAGCTACTGGTTGTGTTTCTCGTTCGACCTAGTTATTTTCATCTTGTCATCAATTTGTTAGCTTCCAATGATACGATTTCGTTGTATCGCAACTGATGCGAAGCTCTGCTTCGTATCTGTGTCAAATTTAAAAAAATGTTTTTTCTGTTTTTTTTTTCGTTAGCGTCATACCTGCACACAAATCCCTGTGTCCAATTACTCTGATCCAACTACTCATTTCAGATTAGAAAATGGTGCAACTGAAACCAACATTTGACACGAAGCAATTCAACTTTCAATCTGACAACATCCAATTCCACTGCTACATTTTAGACTTGAAAAACAGTCTGTTTCTCTGGATCGGAGACGCAACACAAACTCTGGATTCTTTGGCCATTGCACTCCAGACATCCCAGACCTCAGATGAGTCCAAATCTGGAACAACTTGCTCGACACTTATGGGCAATGTTTTAGACTCCTACAACGAGAACTTGTGTCGTAAATTGAGCTCGAAATTAAAGAAGCCTGTTTTGCTGAGTTTAAATATGGAGATTCAACCCGATCAAACTCCTTTGTTTGAGAAGAATTTGATTGCAAAATTGAGTGATGTTTTATAGTTACTTGATTTTTTGCCAAAATTCATTGTCGCTGACTAGCAATTGAGTGAGAATCTATTTTTAAAACATTTTTAGTAATTGATTTTTCATCCAAAAATGCATATTTTACAATGGGTATGCGAGGTTTTGTAGTCGGCTTCATCATTTATGTTTATGTAAAAGTATTGGAATTTGTTCACGGTTAAACAAGGGGTTAATTTTTTTAAATAGGCGTAACTAGCAGGGATGACTGCAGAGGCAAGCAATCCTTAGTCTGTTTTCTCCTAGAAAATGAATGACATTCATTTTGCTATTAGAATTTACCTAGCGTTTTTTTTTCAATTGTCCGATAATTTTAATCTATCTATTATCTAGTATATATTTAAATGCGGGCTTCACTATCTCGCCATGTTTAAGCTTTTCAACGTAATATTTTTGCATGTTTAAGCTAAATTGTATATTACAATGGTTAAGATTTCTTTAAACCGATTTTCAGGCTTGAATTCAGTGTTTATATCACCAAGTTTGAAATTAGCCAGCCAATATTGGGATGGTGTCAGGGCTGCCCCAGGTGTTGAAATTTTGGCCCCCAAATATGAATAACCAAATCCTTATAGTTAGGTTACTCTCAGGGGTTGCGAATCTTGCATCCGAATCTAACTTCTTAAACCCTTGTAGTTTTCGAGATATTACCATTTTTTATGATTTTCTAAAAATTTTTCAAAGATCTTAGATTTAACAAAAATTTTGAAGCTCTCATCTCTATAGTGAGGCTATGTCAAGTTTCTACCCGGAGATGCGAATTTTCCCTCCAAATGTGACTGCTCAAATTCTTGTAGTTTTCGAGATATGACATATTTTTTATTTCTTTTTAATTTTTCAGAAAATTAGATAAAAATTTGTTCTAAAAGTTTGAACTTCCCACCTCTATAGTACGGCTGTGTCAGGGCACTCCTAGGGGTTGCGAGTTCTTCTTTCAAATATGATTGTTTAAATTTTTGTAGTTTTCGTGTTTGGGAAGCTTAGAATCGCCTGTTTTAAACGTTTTTAACCTTGTGTTGCGTTTTGTTTTGGCTTTTCACCTAATTCAACGCATTTTTTAGCAAAAAAAGCGACAAGAAATTTAGACAATGCAAATTTACATTTTGTTTTCGATTTCTTTTTAAATTTCCTTATTTTTTGAATTCATTTTTAAATCAATTTGGTCGGAATTTTCTGTGCTTCTTGCACTGCAACAGGCTATTTTTAATTCTATTTAAAAACTTTCTTTTTAGCAAATAAGCTTATACGATAATCGGGATTTGCTTTGTTCTTGAAAGGTTTTCTTTTGAGGTTTTTTCGTTGTTCTTTCAATTGAAAAAACAAGTCATCGAACGATAAAGTCAGTTTTAACTTTTCAGAGAATAACCTCTGAAATCAACAACAGAAACTACTGTGCAAATAATTAACTCGAGCTATTGACGCACGCGTTGATTAAAAATGATCAGATTCAAAAACTCGCAATGCTTTCTGTTAGTCGCCTTCCTAGTCAACTCTAAGTGCTAAATAAATGGCTTATCTTAATTTAAATGCCTGTTTGTTTCAGATTAGATCTGTTTTTCGTGCCGTCTCGTCTGATTTTGTGTAAGTCAGTTCTCGTAAAGTGCCCTCTATTTTGTGCACGGAAATTCATCAAAACATGCCTGGTTCCCGAGTTTCCCAGTACTGTATTAATTTACGAATAGACAAACACATTCTGAACAATTCATCGGATGCTAATGATGAAACAGAGTTCTACCTAGTAACGAAACTTCTCGACAAATGTGTTGGCCAGTTGAAAGTATCGAATTACGATTATATTGAAAAGGATAACAAAAACGTTCTTGAACGAAATAATAATGGACAGTTTAAATCGAGCTCGTCGAAATGTACAAGTTCAGAAAAAATCGCCAAAAGTGATTCCAATGAAACCGGCCTAATTGCTTCTGGAACAAAAATTGGCAAAATAAACGGATTTTTAATTGGCAAAACTAGTGAAATTTTGAGAAAAGACAATGAAAGTGAAAAAGATAGCACAGCTGCCAAGTATAAGTTGAGATCGAAAGAAGATGAAGAATCGCTTGCAGTGTTAAAGAAGTCACTTAAAGTCGAAGAACCTGAAAGTCGGAAGCGAAAAACTCTCAATCGATCAAAGTCATATCGGGAGGTCAATTCAGACGAAGATCTGCAGCCCGATCAAAAGGAAATAGATTTGGCAAAAGCTAAAATGTCTCGCGTGTTAAGCAAACTTTCTTACTCGCCAAAAAAGAGAATGAAAAAGAATCGACCGTCAAAAACTGATTTGATTGCTCAGCCTGAAATATCTAACGAATCGACAGTCTTGGAAGTCGAACAACATGAAGAAACAATCAGCGGAAGTCCTCAAACTCCTCGTAGACAAAGTACGCAACTTGAATCGCTGAAGTCGGCAGAAATAACATCAACGTACCGGGAGAGTCCCTTTGATGTTTCCGTAGAATGGTCTCGCGACAGGCCGAAACGAAGCATAACTGCACCTAAGAGGTATGTTTTATCCCCTAGTCCACGTGACAGAGATAAAAGAAACCAAAACCGCGACAGGCTGTTTGGTAGTCGAAGTAAAAAGAAAAGACTTGAAAAGAGCGAAAGCGGTACACGTGATAAGAAAGGTCCAGAAGCTGTTCAAGACGCGAACTCAGAAAAAAGTGGTTCTAGTTCAAGTGGAAATAAAAGGAAAACGAAGTCTTTAAACGGAAGCCGACCAAATAGCATCGAAAGATCAGTTGAAACTGAGTCGGTTGAACCGCGATTGAATAAAACTAAGTGGTTGGATTTTGCTATTCTATCGGACAGCGAGAACGAAGATGAACCTATATGTGTTGACGATAGTTCAGATCATAATAGCGAAAAAAATGCCAAATCATCTGACAGAACTGGAAATCTAAAACCAGAACAGATAACGAAAAATGAAGATATATCTATAAAGTCAAGTGAAAGTGTAGAAAAAGCTTCGATTCTTGAAAAACTGGGACTGAGTTGTTGTGAATCCCAGAATTTTTCAGAGGTCAACGGAGAAAATCTAAGCACAACCTTGCCTGATTGCGCAGCGATAGAAATCAAAACAGCCCAGAGCTTGCAGGAAGTTTCCCAAAAAGATGATGAGGATAAACCGATTTTTGAGACACCGATAGCTGCTTCTCTCGATTGTGAATCACGAGATGTTGAAGTTATAGATCTAAGTGGCAGAGGCGAAAGTGAAGACGCGGAGATATTTTCGGGATCAAATCAAGATAAAGGCATGAACTACTTAGTTGATCACTCAGATGTTTCCCTAAATGGCGAGAGCCAAGTTGTAATAAGTGCAGATTCAAAAATCGAATTGAAGCTTCCCAGTTCGACTGATAGCGTAATCATGGAGGAAACAAATTACGGAAAACCAGCCGAAAAATCGAAAACTTCAGGTCAAGATGTTGACGTATCAGATACTTGTACTGTAGAAAATGTGTCGGAGAGAAGCGAGAGTTCTTGTGATCCGTCACCCGATGTGAAGAGCTACGAAAACTTGTCCTGGGAACAATTTTCTCAAAGTCAGAAATTGACACTGAAAAATTATCCCGCTGAAGTAGATATTAAAGCTAAAAAAGAAGAAAATAATTCTTTTCCATTTGAGTCATCGGTAAGTTGTAGTTGTTCTCCACTTATCAAACAGGTGTCGGGTGTTTTAGTTTATCCAATAATGAAGATAAAATAAATTAAGGTTTTGTTGAAATCGAGAGTCATAAATTGCATCTGACTGTTAAGCCTTTAAGACCATAAAACTTTTGAAAAGAAGCTGTTTACAATCGGTTCAATCTTCAATTTTGCAAAATAACCTTTTTTAGTCCGACCATTTCACGAAACGAAGATAAGGAATTGTGGATTAACCTGTTTTTTGTTTTGCCCGATTTTAGCTACCTCAATGAAAGTTCGCAGGAGGGAGGGAAGGGGGTTGATTGCGAAAGCAAATGAAAGCCCGTTAGGCCGTGGTTTGGCCATGGTCATACTAAAAAAATGGTCCGAATTTTCCTGTTTTTTAGACTATTTTCAGACTGGATAGATTTCAGACGGCATTTTTCATCTAACGTTTTGCTCGATTTTTCAAAAGTTTTAGCTTTGAATTTTTTTTGCTTTCATTACTTTTTATTAGAGCTTACGAACCAATTCAGTTTCCTCTAACGATAACACTACTCCAAAAACCAAAAGAGAAAATTTATAAATTGAACGCACGATTTGTGAAAAAAGCAGTGCTTCGGCTAGGTTTTCGGACGTCAGCTGTTGGTACTGACAATTTATTGATTAGTTGTTAAAGGACAATTTGCTCTCCAAATACGAATTTAATTAATAAATTTTAGCTTTGCCGTTAGATTTTAACTTTGAGATTCGCCAGCAGAAAGAAAGTACCTGTTGTCCTAGTTTTTCGCTTTGGGCTATTTTTTCAAGAAAATGTCCATAAAAGATTCTTGAAATTTAAAGTGCTTTAAGGTGATTGTGATGCAATATGAGAATATGAGATTTTATTGCTGAATAAAAAGTTAGTGTCAATCCTAAAATATTTTTGAAATCCAAAGACTTTCAAGCTGATGCATTCATTATTAAGAGTCAATGAACGTCGGAGAGAGTCTTATAGGTCTTGATGATTTCTTGTTTTTTTTCCAGAAAAAATTTGTTCACGCTCGAACTTGAGTTTTCGGGGTTGTACGTTTGATTCCACTTTCAACTCCGCTATTGAACATCATGAAGTGTAAAGGTTTTGAAAAACGTAATCGATATCTAGTTTCGAAAGTGGATGTAAGTTTTAAAAAAGTGTCAATCATAACTTCATATCATAATTTCCTCTTGAAATTCAAAGAGCTTCAAGGCCTTTTTTCCTTTAATTTACAAGGTTTTTTTTCAAAAAACAAGTCGATGGGTTTTCTTTTTTCTGCCGTGATTGACTATTTTTCAACTGTTCAACTCTTGGCTTTTTTCTTATGAATAATGGAAGTTTAATCTGTTTTTCAAAAGTCAACCATTTTTTGCGTTTACCGTGAATTCTTTAATAATTTTAAAATTTTCTGTTGACTATGTTTTTTTTTGTCACAGCCGATGCTGCTGGATGGACAACAAATGGTCTCCGCTGGCCAGAGCAATAACTTGTCATCAACTGGCATTAACTCGGCATCAACTGGCATTAACTCGTCATCAACTGGCATTAACTCGTCATCAACTGGCATTAACTCGTCATCAACTGGCATCAACTTTTCATCAACCGTTGATAATGTGTCATCACCTACTGCCACTTCAGTGGGGAGAGACCAGCAGTGCTTCCTCTGTTTCTCGGGCGACACTGACTTGGATTGTGCGAAGTGTCCGAAGGCTTTCCACAGGAACTGTCTCATTCCTCCACTCACGCAAAAGCCACTGTAGGTTGACAGTTTTATTTCAAAATGAAGGAATTTTGGTTATTTTTTAATTGATAGAATTTAAGCAAAGAATTCATTGGAATGAAGCGTCGAAAACGTCAGAGAAAACCGACACAAAAGATTGAGTTGCAAGGTATTGAATAGTTTCGTTGTACGATTTACTGAGGCACTGGACTAGTGCGCAGTGATCGGATGTTACAAAAAAAACTTTGACCGAAAATCTCTCCGAAAAGCGGCGAAAAAATAAATAAAAATGATGAATTAAAAGAAATGTAGACTACTGTCTGTTGACTGCTAAGTTCTGTTTTTGCCAGTGATAACAATCTTATCTCTGCTAATATCTTGAGAAAACTAACTCATGTTCGCTTACGATTTTATAAAAACCACAATTCATGAGGCTCATTCAATTCACCGCCGAATCAAAACGAATCACATTTTCCGTTTCAAATATTCACTTTATAAAAATGTCTGATTTTTCGTTTAACTAAATTTATCGATGAATTTTCTCATAAGTTCATTTAAATTAAAATAATTCAAAATAACTATAAGGTGTTCATCTTTAATTTGATATAAAACGTTTTATTTATTTGAGTATTTTCTTATTTTGAACTCTTCAATATTTTTCAACTTGAATCTTCGGCTGTTTTAAGGCTTTTTGTTTTTAAAGTAATTCTTTTAGACAATTGTATCTTCTATCAAAGGGATTTCATACTGCTCTATTTTATTCTATTTTAGTTTAGTATATCAATTTCGTGAAGATATTCTAAAGCGACTGGTAACTTAAATCAAGCTTAGTTCAGTTGGTTTATGTTCGTTCAAATGCTTTGTGGAGTTTTGGTCATAACAATTAATCGAGAACAATGATTTGGTATCGATTCAGTTTGTTCAGTTGATTATGATAATTGGTTCAGTTTGTTCATTTTCTTTCCTTCGGAGTTTTTTGTGGAATGTTGTTTGGTAATAACCAATAAGTAAGGTTAACTATTCTGATGTTTCAGGGGCGACTGGTACTGCCGTTTATGCTGCCGAGGACGCAAACCTAGCAATGCATAAGAATCTGCAAAATGAAGAAAAAACTCAAGCTATCGCAATCTCATAAATTAATCATAAAGTTTTTGTTCTGTCTCCTTTAAATTTGCATTCTACTTTGAATAAAATGCCGAATTAGAATGCCAATTCGTTCATCATATCTGTTTAAGTTATGCTCTATATTTACCAAATCTCTATCTGTATTGATGTTGAAAAAATAGTCTTCGTTACAGTTGGCTTTCTTCCAGAATTTTGAATAATAGGGCGAAGGTGAAGGTAAGTTCATTGCAACAGCCACTGCGGCAATTTTTGCTTAAATCACATGAGCTGTTAGCTTTGTGGTTGCTCGGGGAGTTCGATTTTACTGAAAGTTTTCGAGAGTACCTAATAAATTGTAAAAACCACGAACTACAGATTTTTCCAAATATTCATCTTAGAAATTGTCCCTTCGTTTTCTTGGGCATTTGGCGGTCGCAAAAGAGCTCTTGGAATGTCACTTCAAAGCCCGTTGTTACAATTCTGAAACAATTGAAAAGAAAAACAGCAGCCGAGAAACATACTTGAGTTCTAAAAATTCTCAACCAAAATGAAAC